TAATGAAACACAGCAAAAATTTTCGAAAAGTTGACTCTTTTATATTAAAAAAATTTCTACTTCGGACCTAACGAAGTGTTTGCATACGGGAAACAAAGCTTCGACATAATTTCAATTCAGTACATTAATCCAGATAAATCTAAATTTGCATATAATATACTTAATTTCTTAACATTCTGCATTCATCGACACAAACATCCTTGCAAACGTATGCAACCTAGAGTAGATGTCCCAATTACTGCCACCTTAAAATTGTAGCGTAACTTCATTTAATCATTCCACGTGTTGTTTAACCTAAATATTATCCCAGTTTAAAACATAATATTATTTACCATCTCTATCATGAAAAAAAAACAGTTTTACACATTAAATATGAAGAATTAATTAAGAGTAAATAGAAATCTATGAATAATCCCAGTGTCTCTATAACTGTCACCTCAAAAATTAAAGTACAATTCTTATATACTTTAACAATTCATTTTGTACAATACATGTAGGTAGAATAGTAAAAATACGACTGTTTCTTTAGTATGATTTCACCATAACTTCCTACTTACGTAGTAACGCTTTTGACCCTCAAATTGCACTTTCATTTTTCAACATACATATTTAAATACCTGGTACACGCACGAATAAAAAGTTTCGAATAACGAATCAAAGATTTTTAATTAATCCAATGTGGTAATTCCAATTTTTATCATAAAATAATATTTCATCTAAAATGAGTAGACACTTGGTAAACAATTGTTTAATCTCAAGAACTGTGTAAAGGTTAGGATGACAATCTTAGATACTGCTGCTTCTCACCATTTATTATTCGAATAAAATGGTGCCTATCTCTGCATACAAGTACATGTATTTTTTTGTTTTTTATATACACCAGAGTTCCAATTTAACAATAAAATTTGTTGTATTAGGCATACTGACAGTAATTAAAATATTTACCCTGTATCAGAATTAGCCAAATTTGTAAGCTAATTACAAAATCCAAATCACAATTACAATGTAATTGCAAGACAATTACAATTACATTATAATTAACTATGCTAAATTTACAATAAAACTTACAATGTAATTGTAATTGTCCCACAATTACATTGCAATTAGAATTTGAGATTTTGTAATTAGATTACATTTTGCCCTACTCTGCCTTATATGTACATATACTCGTTGACCCAAGAATTTCGCCGAGGATCCAAGATGGCGGCGAACCTACTACGAAATATTTACCCATTCGAATATGTCCAATTAATTGGCCTTCGTAAAAGTGATTTTCAGCCTGCAAACCGGTTCGAATTCGTACGGAATCATGATCCGTAGATGCCTGTTGCGCGATGATGGAACACAATTACTACCGGCTACGATGATACTGAACAAGGACGCTTCGGGCACCGGCGACTAGTGTATCTAGATTTCACAGAACATCTTAAAGTCCGACGAATCCGTGAAAAGGCCTCACATCCGCGCGGACTCTTGTCCAAGCGTTACGCCGCCTGTATAGTTTCGGCTCCGTTATATTGTTCATTTTGTTTTTCTCTTTTTTTTATTTATTTTTTTCTCGCAACTCTACTCGGTCCGTGATTCGAACTTTCTCTGTGTCGATGGTCTAAGAAGCAGACAAACGCTTTTTTTCGATTGAAAAATAATTCGACGACGGATGAACCAGTGAAAATTAATTTTTGTCACGATGCTTTTGGTGAAACTGTTTTTTCGTGAAGTGTGTCGTGTACTTTAGAATGATACGAAATTGTTGGTATAATTGGTGGACGGCGAAGAAGTGGAATACCCGTTAAGAAAGTATTCGACGAATGACGGTTTGGGGAAGTGGATGGAGAATTGAAAATCGTTGTTTTTGGTGAAATGTGTCGAGCAAGGTATATTATGGTATAGTTATTGTAAATTTATGGATTTGTGAATAGTTGGAGTTCGATCTAGAGAGAAATGATTTAACGAAATAATCTTGGTGGGGAAAGGTGGGGAGGGGGAGTATGATATTTTAAAAACGATAGTGAGAAAGTTATTGCGTTTGTTTAATGGACATTAGCGATGTTTAGTAGTATTCTTATTAATAGTATCACACTGAAAAATATATGAATAATGTATATATAATTTATTATAAATTGAAGAAAAGTGTATGGACATTGCTGTTCGTTCATAAACTAGAAATTAGAATTTACTTATTTGTTATCTTTATATTATTTGTGAAACTAGAAAATAGGTTCCAGGAGTACCGAAATCTATTCATTTCATAGTAATAAATTTGTTTTCTATTACATTTACATTGTACTTAAAGAATAAAATTAAACAGCAAATATTCTATACTTTTTTAAGTAATTCTTTTGTTACAGATTATATGAAGGAACTGTAAGCTAAAATTGTCGTTACGATTTCACTTTTTGAAATTAAGATTATTTACCAATCTCAAAACTATTTAATCGTGATTAATTCAATAAAATATTTACTTTCTATCAAATGTTCCGAAATTCTTGGGAAAGCAATTTACTTAATTTGCATACCTAATCTTAATAATATATTGGGTAGAAGATCAAGAAATTCTATTTGCACGTAATTTCATGAAGCAAAAGACAATCTAAAGAATGTGAACAATATTTGAACGTATAAAATCCTAGTTTGCCAACGAATCTCGTAAAATAAACACTCTAATGAAGTGTAATTTGCATAATTGGGACAACACAATTAGTACAAATGCAAAAGTTGTCTACGTGCAAAATGGCGGATTTCGCAGGTGACTCGTTTAAAAATCTTCAATCACAATTCGCGTTTGTTTATTTTTCTTCTTTCATTGTCTCTTCTAAATTCTGCCAGTAATTTCATGTACATCAAAAATGAGTTACTAAAACATCAATGATTGTTGTTCAACGAATGTGGATGACTGTCATTCTTGCATAACTTGAGTATTATAAAATTAATCCGAGACATAATTTACGTGTCACGCTTCTCTGCTTTATATTGCATATTGACGAAGTACATACTGACTTGTATGAAATTTCCTCTTTTCAATATCATTCTTGAAGCATTACATACCACCTAAAGTCACAAATTTGTCCATATACAGTAAAAGAAACAGTAAAAAATATTGGGTTACAATATTTAAAATTTTAAATTAACACTTGTTTTCTCTTTTTCATATTTTATTTTAACATTTAATTAAAGAAGAGTTTCATGAAAGTTTAATTTCTCTTCCCAAGTAGTTTCGTACATTTCAGAAAACAGCAATGGACATGCATAAATTTTTTAAGAAAATAGAAATTTCGAGAGAGAGACAGAAACACCATGTTTTCTATGAAATATTCTAAAGAAATACAATGTCAAATTTTCCTCAATTATGAAATTTTCTTAACTCTACATACCTACTTCTGTCTCAAACAAACAAATTTGAGATATCAAACAAAATACTCCCCACTATTATTGCTTTTTGTGTAATTTCTTATTTCTGGGGAAATTACATAATTTCTCGAGATTTTTTTCGAGAAATGTCCTATAAAATTTATAAAGTGTAAAATAGAAGATTAGAGAAAATTTTGATTATAGATATCAACAGTATTGGTAATACAAAGTAAGCAGATAAGGAATCACGCGAGAATAAAAATGTTAGCTGTTTCATTTTTCAATATATAATTTCATAAAAGTGTTTTACGAACAAATTGAAGAGAATCTCTCGATGAAAATGAGTCCAAACACGACGTAATACGGACTATTTGAACAATATGCTATTATAACGTACGATTAAAAATTGTTTTTGCTGCTTTTTCCCTGTTCGAAAACATGCTAATATTCTGAAAAAATATACATTGCAAATACCGGGGCAAGCGTTACAGAATTTTCATCAATTTTTCGATAGAAGGTTCCAGTAAAAAAAAATGAAAGACCCTACAAAATACTGAAACTGTTTTTAATTTTTTAAAGAACCTCGCCAAAAAATCTGAAAAATTTCACGTAATTCGTACATATGGTAATATGTTGTTACTGTAAAAATATAAATCTAATCGCTGCAAAATTTCAATAAGAAATTCGCATTCCCTCATTTTTGCTTTGCTTCCTCCACTCGCAACAAAACCGAATTGAATTTACGAATATATATATACTATTATCAATAAATTTCTCGAGAATTCTCGAGAAACACAGGCTGAAATTTCTTTCCTCGAGAAATGAAAACTATCGAAAGATCAGAAAATCTACTCCCCACCAAGTTATTACAATCTGCAAAACGAACGAAACAACACCTATTCCGATCTTCCACAAAGAAACACAGATAAATTTGTCCGAGTCGCAAGATAGAGAGAAAAACAGTTGTCAAAATTCGTTCATAGTCTCTCCCCAGAAAAAACAACGAAACACAGGAACACATATCGAAACTTTTTGTGTAGATGGACATCCTGGACCAAGGAGGGAACATAAAAGCAACTGAAGCTATCTATGAGAACAGGCCCATCCAAAAGTAACCAAAACGAATGGGCCTATTCAGTCTGACAAAGGAGCAGACACGATCGAGATACAAAGGAAGCAAAATCGAATCGGCAATCCAAGAAAAACTTTTGTTTATCCCGTGGCGAACATACTAGACCGATACGCGACCTCTATACCGACGGTTTTTAAGTTCAAGGTCCCTATTGGTCAGAGGACAAGAAGAGGCCCGTGGAACGGAAGCGTCTTTTCCTATCCGCTTATATATAGAACGAATAACCCATACGGGGCCGACCCAATATAAGTCACTCGGGCGAGTGACACCAACGGTCGCGTGTGCTGCAACGACGGCGGGGAGCATTCTCTTTAAAGTGATCCAAATGACTTTGGGACGTGACGTGATAAACGAAGAAAAGAGTGAGGCCGAGGTATGACGATTGGAATGAACGTTCCGCCGTGCCCGATCCACGATCACAGAGAGTGCCTTTGCGTTACGTCGCAGTTTCTTCATCGTGCACGCCGAGAAGGTGTCTTCAACCAGAACACGAAATAGAGGGGCAAAATACAGACAGAGGATGGGCAGCCTGCCGAAAATCATAGTGCAGGGTCCGTCGATCGACATCGAGGAAAGATCACGACGTTACTCCTTGACCAGCCTTAGGGATCGTCGTGGTTCCCTGGACGGGAACAACGATTACTGGCGAACGTCCGAGGAAGGTGACAGAAACGTCCACGAATATAATTGCGGCACGATCCCCAAGAAGACGACGTCGAGATCGTTCGCTAGCCATGACACCAAGACCAGACACTATTCCTTAACTAGATTGAAAAATCGTCGTTCCTGTCTTCACCTGGACGACGAAAAAGACACGAAGATCGACAAAGAGTTCGTGAACGACGTCATCAACAACAAGACCACGCAGCCCCTCAGGCTACCCGTGAACCGCGATGGCAAACCCAGACACTGTTCCATGTCGAATCTGAACGATCGATCGAACGATCATCTCTCCACCAGATTGGCGTCCACGTTCAGATCGGTTCGTTACAGAAACACCAGCAACTCGGAGAAGATCGTGGTGAATGAGAACCCACGTGTGAACGATCACATAGAGATCGACGCTGGTACACCGCCGCCAGTCGACGAGTCGTTGTTCTACGACAACCTGGATGTGTTCCGTCAGGCACACATCAACGGGAACGATCTTCGTTCGATCATGTGGTCGGTGATCACCGCAGCCGATATGAAGCTTCTGCTCGAGCTAGAGAAATGCAACGCGTTACCGGAGCTACCATCCGACGAGCGTGTACGGAATATCGCGTACATTTGGTGTTCCTATCGTGGCCTCGCGCATCTGCTACCGAAACTGGAACAATCCGGCGCGAGTCAGGACTACACGGAGCCTTGTAGCGGCATGAACGCGATTCTAGCTGCCTCTTTAAGCGGCAACGTGGCCTGTCTGGAGCATCTGATCGAGATGGGGGCGGATGTGAACTGCCGGAACCCGATTAATCATTATACACCCCTTCATTTCGCTGTCCACGGAAATTCCACGGATGGTGCACGGGTGTTGCTCGATAACGGGGCTAAACCGAGCACCTGTCTGTATCAGGAGATCGTCGAACCGGTGTTGCACTGCGCGATCCGCGCCGGAACGGTGAAGATAGTGAAATTGTTATTGGAACGTGGCGCCAGCGTGGTCGAGAAGAATCACATGGGCGAGACACCCCTACACGTGGCCTGTTTCGTGCAGTCCATAGAATGCGTCGAATTGCTTCTAGACTCTGCTGGAACGAACATAAACGCCGTGGACAGGGTACACAGGACGCCCCTTCATTTCGCCGTGATGACCACCCACTCGTCCGCCAAGCTTGTCGAGATACTGCTAAAACATGGCGGTCTGGTAAACGCTGCAGACAGGACTGGCTTCACGCCCCTTCATGTAGCCGCGTTAAACGAACAATCCCATTGCGTCGATGTCCTGATCTGGGCCGGGGCGGACGTCAGTGCTACCACTAGCGCAGGATTGTCAGCCCTAAACATTATACTCCGAAAGATACCAGAGTCACTAGAGGTGTTCAGACAGAGACTGGACGCCTCGATAACACTTAGAAGACCCGTGCCCCACAACAGGGAGTTCGAGATGAGGCTACACTTCGATCTATTGTTCCCCAGTGGGAATCAATGCGAGACCAGTTTCATCAACACGTTCGTCCAAGAACGCCGTAAGGACCTGCTGTCGCACCCGTTGGTGATGGCGTTTCTCCACCTGAAATGGGAGAAAATCCGGAAGTTTTATCTGCTCCGGATTCTACTGTACGCGATGACCGTGATCTGCATGACCACATACGTGCTGACCGCGTTGGCCTACAAATGTTACAATTACGACGACGCCAGCAGCTCGAAGATCTGCAGCAGCAAACGGCTGTCCGGGTTTCTGTTCAGGAGGCCCGCGATTGAGATCCAATGGTACTTGTTGTTCATCTTTACCTGTATCTCGATACCCAGAAAGATATTCGGTTTTATGGTGTACACGTCCGCGAAACAGTACTTCTCGAATATCGACAACGTGCTCGACGGGGTGGTCATCATAAGCGTGTTCGTCACCTCGTTCGTGTATACAGGTCGTACGTATGATTGGCAGAACTATGTGGGGGCGTTCGCGATATTATGCGCGTGGACCAATCTGATGCTGATGGTCGGTCAGCTGCCAGCTTTCGGCACCTACGTGGCTATGTTCACGCATATACAATTCGAATTCGCGAAGCTACTGCTCGCTTATTCTGGTCTGCTGATTGGATTCACCGTTAGCTTCTGCGTGATATTCGTCGGTGAACCGTCTTTTGGCAACCCGTTCACAGGGCTGATTAAAGTGCTGGCGATGATGGCCGGTGAACTGGACTTCGAGGGTCTGATCACGCAGATCGATCAGGAAACGGAAGGGCCGTTCGTTATTTATCATCCTCTGTCAGTCTGCTCGCAGATACTGTTCACGTTGTTCATCGTGTTCGTGACGGTGATCCTGATGAATCTGCTGGTCGGCATAGCCGTTCACGATATTCAAGGATTAAGGAATCACGCGGGTTTGACCAAGCTTGTACGTCAGACCAAGTTGATCCTCTTCACTGAGATGGTGTTGCACAATAGCTCGATACCGTACGCGTTTCGTAAATGGATGTCCGACCACAAGATCAACGTGGAGAACAGGAAGAGGGTTCTGGTGGTGAAACCGTTGAATCCGTTGGAGAAAAGGCTGCCGAAAGATATTTTAAAGGCGGCCTATGAGATTGCTCAGAAGAATATACCGTTTATGAACGACGATAACGTTGGTCTTAGCGATCACGTGATGTGGATGAGGCAACAATGCGAAGAGTACTCGGATACAAATTTGCAGCTGGCAGTTGAGAATTTGGCTACCAAAATACAGTCCTACGAAGAGACGATCAAGTCGTTGAGGGAACAGCTTTTGGACACCAACAAGACGCTGGAGAGTGTTGTGAAACATCTGCCGAAGGAAAAGAGAAACTGACGTATTTAACCCTAGGTAGAGTTAGTATTGAAAGTACAAATGAATGATACAGAAATGAATGGCGACGTGTACTCTGAACTATGTAGAACTGTCGTAAGTGTGCGATTTTTCAGGGTGCAACGAGTCGAGAAACTTTAGTCGGAAAATTAAATGTTTTTATGTTGGTTGCTCGGGGAAAATGAACTTGGAAGTGAAAGTGAAAATAAAGATAGAGGACTATGATACAATTTTAATGTTAGGAATCGTTTTAGGGTTTTATATATTGAAATTCTGTTCGCTAACAATACGTTTTTGTAATTGTTATGATTGTAACGGATTAGTGGTATTAGTAGTTAATTGCAATTGTAGATAAGATTTAGGATATTTCAGGGAAATGTTTATAAATGGACCTTTTAATTTAATAATTAAAATCTTTTAATAAAATCCTGTTCAGTGGTTATTCGAGTACGTTAAAATTATCGATGGAGACACGTTTCACTATACGAAATTCTTGATTATTTAGGTAATTAAATTAATATCTTCTTCTTTTTGTTATAATATATTTATGGATAATATTTGCGGAAACAAATGTTCGTTAATCTGTAGAATTATGTTCGACAAGACATGTGCTTGTGATCGTGCAGTAACTAAATTTAATAATTTACGGATACCCATTGAGTGTTCGCTGAAGGTGTAATTAATGTAAACTATTTTTAATTACAGGTTATATTTCCATTAATATTTTCGAATATGGCTGACAAAGTTGATATCGAAGCAACTGTTACTGGTGGGGGGCTTACTGGACAATCTGGTGCTATTCGTATGGGTATTGCATTAGGGCTTCGAAACTTTGTCAGTATCGAGATGGTAGAAAAAATGAGACTTGGTAAGCAGAACAATGACATTTTTAAGTACTTATTGATCATTAATACGTTTGGCAGTTCCTTAACATTTTTTCCTTAATATTCCCTATAATGGTGAATACGAACAGACAATACGAACAATTTAAAAAAATGAAGATATTAATAAACAAATATTATTTATGGGTCACCTAAGTTCACAAGACGTGAAACTTGTTTATATTATCAATAACTTTGTTTTAAAGTACACGTTTTAAATGTGTATTATGTAAGCAAATGCAAGCAAGTAGAAATTTATTCAATATTGGTTCAATAATGGAATTTTAAACTTCGTTTACCTCAATGATGATCATGAGTTACATTTTTATAGAACGTCACTTTTGAGTTATATATTGTTGTTAATTTATGATAGAAACTAGGATGAAGTTATTACCGCGCGCTCTCTATTGAAGCACTAATTTCTAGATATAATTCGCAAAGTGGCAATAAGGTCGGTCGTTAAATTCATTCGGTAACGCTTTGAGAAATTTGTAGTAACATTATTACGTTCCTGAAATGTCTGAGTATTCTTTTGTATTAACAAATACGATACACTGAATAATAAGTAAGAATTGTAATATTAATTGAATTAAATTACAAAGTATCAAAAAAATATATTCTTTCTATTTCTTCTATTATCAAAAAATGAATTCTTTTCTATTACAAAAATAAATTTTCCATTTATATTAGCTATACACGTGATTTCCTTTGGTTTGGTATATTTTCTACCTGCTTTTGTGTGTTCTTTTTAATGAGAAAAACATTCATACGATTAATTGAAAATATGTTCTAAATAAGTTGTCTTTATATTCAGCTGGCCTTCTGACTCACGACCCTAGAAAACGTGAAAGAAAGAAGTTCGGACAGGAAGGAGCTCGAAGAAAATTTACGTGGAAGAAACGTTAATATCGTTTCCCCAATTTTCTGTACCTTACAAATCGTACGAGTTAATTCCATTAAACTCTTGTAAAATATCATTGAATTGTACCAAGAGCCATCTTATACGTTATAAGGTGTATATTCCAATTGTGTATAGTAACTGATGAGAAATAGCTAATCAATAAAATAATGGTTTAAAACTTTGTTAACTGTTTGCAACCTATAAGCTTACAAACATATTATTAACTGTAAAAGGAAATATAATAATTAGACAGTAGGCAATATAATCGTTACAAATATAATGTTTTTGTACAGTAGACAAACCGAAGTGCGTATAATACGTCCTTTACATTTTCTCTAATGGCGTCAAACCAAGTAATTTCATACCCTCAGCAAGAATGAGTTTTGATGTATGAAACAGCAACAGTCTCTGTTCTCCTAAATCTGTTGGTTGTCCTCTTATTGTCAATGTTTTCCATGCTTTACTGATTGCATTGCTATGAAACGATTTGTTATGGTAGAATAAATTACATTGAATGAATGTACATAAAATTGAAATGTTTCTTCGTATTTAATATAATAATACTGACCTTAACTGGAAAAGATATACTGTTAGTATACATGGCTCTAATTCTTCATAAGATTTAAGTACAACTTCATCGAATTTACTGATTAATATAATTAAATCATCAACTTCTGGTTCCTGTAGTAGGCTTGGATCGCATTCTGTTGTTAGAATAGCACCACTGTTGTGTTCCAAACTAGTTAAACGACAGTGAGTGTACTGCAATTTTATTCCTGAGTCACCCTTCATCTAATAATGAAATATATTATACATAATGAAAAAATATCCTAAGAAAGTAGTTAATAACAATGGGAAATTGTCAAAGCAATTTACATTTAATATTAAATCCCAATTGAACTCATAGTTTTTCATTCTTCTTTGCCTCAAATCGTGGATAATAACACCAGAAACACCCAAAATATCAGAACTGTCATCAGTTTCGTCTAAAGAAACCTTTGTTGCTGAAATAAAGCAAAAAAATTGACTAAGTATTTACATCCAATTTTAAATTTTTCTATATGCTGTATAATTAAACGTCTGGGTATTCAATATTTAAAGATTTTTTTTTCTTAATTATATAATCTCCAATTATAAGTAAGATTAACTTACTATGTGTCTTCATTTGTCTTTCTCTCATAATTTCTTTTACTTCGTTTAAAATATCTTCTAGAAACACTGCGGTACCTTTTCTTGTACTCATACCCTGAACTCTTCCATATTGGATGTGCTTTATTCGATCTGCCCAAGGTATGTTCATTTTGTTTAAAATTTGCACTAAGTTTGAAAAATGATCCCTTTGAGCGCTATCCACTACGTAATACATGGCATCAAATTTATTTTTCTCAAACCTATCAATAGCAGCAGCAATGTCTCGACATAGGTACAAAGTTGAACCATCACTTTTAATAAGTGGAATATTCCTTTTTTCAGATATAGGTATCACTCTTCTGTTCATATTATCTAACGTTAACAAATGCATGTCTTCCATCAAATTAATAATGTGATTTGTAGTTGAAGCATTATACATAGACTCCCAATGATACTCATCAAAAACTACACCTATTCTTTTATAAATTTTTGTTAATTCATGGACAGTGTAATCTTTAAATGTTTGCCAGTCTTTATAAGTGCTACTATCGCCCAATTCCAATTTTTTGAATAATTCTCTAGCACGATCTCCTATCGTTGAGTCAGTTTCAGCTAATTTATGAGCAGTAACATATGCTTTATACAAAGCTTTAATAGGGTTTGTTTGTATTTCAGTACTATCAATATTTGTTAGTTTCATTCCCATTTGAATGAAACCAATTTGTGTGCCCCAATCTCCCAAATAATTTATTCTTTTAACTTTATTCTGTAGGAAACTATTTATATTAGCAATACAATTCCCTATAATTGTGGAACGCAAGTGTCCTAAATGAAAAGGTTTAGCAATATTTGGTGAACTAAATTCCACTAGAACGTTTTTATTATCCTGCAGAAGCACTGGTGGTGTTGGGCCAGAAAGATTACTTTCTAAAATCGTCTTTACATACTGATCTCTTGGTATATTGAAACAAACAGTATCATTTTGTACTGTAATGTCAGAAATATCTTCTAAATCATTCTTGATAATGTTTTGAAGTTCATTTGTTATATTATAATGGTTAGACATCAATGGAAGAGCAAAACAATACGTGCCATTTGTTTTATTAAGCTTTACATGTAATTCAGATAATATTTTACATTTATATACACTGTCTACATTTTGTAATGGTTTTATAACCTAAAACAAAATAACCAAACTTTAATTGCATAGTTATATTTATTTAAAAAATTTTGCATATTTTCCATATCTCTATAAAACAACGTTTGAGCGGAATTTATGGAAACATAGTGGCTTATAATCAGTATACTTATTATCAGTAATTCATATAACCGGCATATAATAAAAATTGTTCATAACCTAGAAATGATTAATAAAAAATTAACGTTTTTTTTCAATCAATTAAAATGTTTAGCGTTATAATTTTGAATTAAAACAAAACAAAATAGAAATTCACATTTTGTACCTTTTTAAGAATTGTAGACCTTACACGGTTGCTCATATTAAAATAATACAATTATTCAGAAATAAATGTTTTATTAGTTTAATTAAACAATGTCTTTTTCTCCTTTTATTATTTGCCTTCTATAATGAAAAATGGGTTCCTTCTTATTTATTGCGTTCTATATACGATATACTCTGAATTACTGTTCTACCGATTTTATTAGTGATTCTCATGGATTCTCAAATGACGCACTGGATGCATGATAAACTATTTATTATTAAACTATTTCAATTAAATATAATCTGTGTCTTAATTAATACTACGCAATTAAATTCAAATTTATGTGATATTTTTCATTTCATGCATTGAGAACTTGTGAATGGAATCAATTTCATTCGTATGTATGCATACAAATATGTAGTATGCATACATATGTACTTATGTACACACATCATACATACATACATACATATGTACATACTTAGTGTTATGACGACATCTGAGGAAAGATGGCAAGGTGTATACAATACGTTAGTTATAACAATAAAAATGTAGCGTTTAAATAAGACTTTCAACAGTATTTTAAATAATTTACAAGAGTATTCGTAAACGTGATTACAACGAAGAAATTGAAAGAAAGTATGTTTACACTTTTTAGGTTATAATAACAAATGTAATTTATGGGTAAGTTCATTCTTTCCTAATATTAATTCGTGTATACATTGTATGAATATTATATGTACATGAAATTATTCTTTATCATATAGAATTTATGGCCCTCTATTAATTGTACTTATTTATTTTAATAAGGTATGGAGAATCAAATTCATTCAGAATTGATCATGAAAGAAGAAGAAATGGAAGAAGGAGAACAAGAATTATGTAATACTAACAGTACAACAGTAACAATAGTAACTACTTCCAATACTTGTACTGTCACTAATGCTACTGTTACTACTACTGCCACTGCTACCGAAACTAAAAGTACTACACGCAATGGAGCAGAATTAGCAATCGGTATCAGACCCAGACCACTAATTTGCAAGCCTGACAATGTAAATATTGGATGTAAATCTGAACCAATAGAAAATAAATGGCATTGGGCCCCAGGAGCATGGCAAGATGCTACAAGAACCAGTGCTTTTCAACCATATAAGGTGAATTTTTATGTTATATTTAAATTCAGATTTACAGTAACTTGAATATTTTTTTCAGCCTCCTACTTTACTTACTAATTTACAAAGAGGGAACACACAGACAGAAATACCTCAACTTTACAGCAATAGTGATATTACATTTCACACATTAGCTGGGCAAGGAGAACTTACCCCTGAGCAAATAAATGCAAGTATGGTAATTTACAAAAAAAAAAACAAATACTTTCTATATTTAACTAATATATTAATTTACTAATAACTTGTCGCAAAGATACTGTGGATGCACCTGATGAGAAAGGTTTAACGGGCCTTATGTGGGCTGCTGGATATGGACAGTTAGGCAGTGCGAGACAATTACTTAAAGCTGGTGCTAATAAAAACTATCGTGGTCTCAATGGAGAAACACCATTGCATTTAGCAGCTGCTTATGGACATCATGATCTTGTAAAATTATTGTTGAACCATGGTGCAGATTCAAATGCGAGTGACGAGGTACAGATCGATATTCCTTTTACTGAGAGTAAAAATTCCGAAATAATAAATTGTTCAACTAATGTAGGAAGGTAATACACCATTAATATATGGTGCATATGGTGATCACCCGCATGTGTGTTACGAACTGTTGTCAAGGGGAGCAGACGTTACAAAGCATAATATGCACAACATAAGTGCTTATCATGCAGCAGTATTGAACAGTTCATTAACTGGTAAATAATGAATTTTTTGAACTGTTGTCAATAGAATCTTATACTAATCCGTATTCAAACAATCATTGTTCATTGTTCCAGCTAAAGCAGTTATTGAAAATTATCTGCTACAACAAGTGGTGAATCTACCTGACATGTTATAGCACAGCACAGTTAAAAATTTTCATAGGTTTAAAAATTGTAAATAGAAGATTAATATTTATATCTAAACATTTTAATAAATGTACTTTATTTTAATTTCTGTATAATTATGTATAGTACATATTTCTCAAAGACTGCATAATCAGAAAAAGAAATAATTAAATTTATACATTCCATGTGTATGAACAAACATTTTATAGACAATTTGTTGATTATTTATACACATTTTGTGAGTGGTAGGTGGTAAATAACTTTCTTGTCTTACTTATGAAAATAAGGTTTCAAATAATCTTTTTTGAAAACTATTAATATAATATTTTGTATATATGTATACAAACATTTATAGTGCCTTATATTAATGGTTTTGAGAACAAGCAGGCGATCATGTAAAGTAAATGCATTCTGAAATGCATTCTTTTTTTTTTTATTTTTTTGGTTTCATATATAATTACTCTTTTAATCAACGATTACACAAAAAGGGTATGGTAATAAATATTTTTCATTCTTAAAGATGAAAAATATGAAAACATTAAATGCTTCTAATAATACTATCATAAAGAAAATAAAACAAGTGAATGCAATTATATGCTTTAATGAATTTTTTTGTTAAAACATGATTATATATCATTTTCTGTTATTATTATGGCTTTACGGTTATGAATATGTACGTAGCTTACAAAAAAATATCGTTATATTCTTCGATACTCTAATATTTTGTTTTCTATTTTACGACGAAGCATGATAATTGTTCGAAATTTATGATAAAAACATCTCATGAATTAAAAATATAAGTAATGCAAATCAATTTTTACGTATAGGCAATATGTTGAACTTGTAAAATGCGAAAAAACTTTCAGTGTTTCTTCATTTCGGATTTTAAAATACCTCTTTTTACAGATTTCTTTAGTAGTTCGACATTAGGCAAGTACTAAATAGAACAAACTGTTCATTAGGGTACTTGTAAGTGTAGTGTATCTAATATACTTCTAATGTACCCAACCATTAACGAAAATAGTGGTTTTCGTGGAATGAAACTGTAGTTCAGATAATAAATGAAGCTGAAAACATTTATCATTGGTGTTTCAATGGACTGTGCCTGGTTTAGTATCCTTGTATACATTTAACACAAATAATTAAGTTATTCTCGGCATACTTATACCACTTCATAGTTATCAGTAAAGAAAACTGTTTCTACTGAATACTTCACAGGACTTTCATCTTCCACAAGCAACACTTCGCTCACCTATAAAAAATACAAATCCAGTTAATCTTTCAAAAAATTTGAAATAATACATAGAAAAAAAGTCTTTAATATAAGGACACAGTATACCTTAATATTGACGTACGACGTCTTTGACGAAAATGAGACGTGAAGAGGAAAAAATTCATCTGGAGTAGAAGATGGTGCTGAGAACTCCATCGAACCAGATTTTGCTGTGGCATCTATTATTGGTAGAGACCATACAAGCGTATTTCGTCGCGCTTCGTGTGTATATTGCCCATCGCATTCACTTACTATGGGATTGCAGCCAATCGGCAATGGAATGTTTATTTGAACATCGTTTAGTTCAAGGTTAGCTTGTTCTAACTCGTATTCTATGTTGACATCGCATCCACCTTCTCCGTTTTCAGAAGGCCAGCAGTTTATTGAAATGGGTAACGCTGTTTCATCCTGAGCTTGCAAGCGCCACTTCAATACTCCAACATCAGTATTCAATGGGAATGGTTTGGTAGGAATTTTCAGGCCTATCTGACCACGAGATCTAAACAATTCCTTATCTACATTAGGATGTGTTTGTAATTGTATTCCTCTCGCGTCTCTGTTTTCTAATTGTACACGAATTCGTCCCCACTTCTCGTCTGTGACATGTAGTGTCACCAGACCATGTAGCTCAAAGTGCTGCAAGCCACCATCTCGGCTAATTCGTACATTAAGTCGTTCTTCCTGACGCAAGTGAACCGTTTCTGTATTGATTATCTGTGGTGCAACTGATGGTTTTGCACCCGATGCAGACAAAGGTGTTGTCACGACATTCTCTCCTTCTTCTTTCAACTGATCAACGAATGAATCAACGTCACGAGATTTTCCTCCTAATTTCATTGCACCTGGCCCAGCATTAACAGGTTTCTGTGTTGGTGTATACGAAGATCGAATTGGATCTGGTATAAAGGTAGCTGTATCTCCAACAGCAGCAGTTGGTGTGAAGTTACCACTGCTTCCATATGAATTACCGAAGCCAGGATTCTTAAGACCAGTCTTTTTATTTGCTTCCATTCGTTGCCTCTGTAATTCCTTTGCTTTCTCACGCATTTTGTTTCTCGCTTCTCGCTCTTGTGTCATTCTCACTGCTTGATAGACCTTTTCTTCGTGCGAATCCATTTCTACAAATGTTCTGATCTGCGCCAAGTTAACGCTTTCTCTATATCCCAGTGCAACTATTTCATCGAACGCAAATATTAAATTGAATGCATTTTCAGCTATTTCTAGTTCGTCTATTGAACTACAATATTCTGGAATCTATAAAATCAATTAATAGTCCAGTGTATGCGAAAAATTGAAAGTTAATAATTTAGTTTATTACTGAAAGTGTACTTACAACTCTTGCAAAGAGTCTCAATGTTTCTAGATCTTCTAATATGTTGCTAGCTTTTGTAGTGATTAATAACATATATACTTTCTCCAGTGGTTGATACACATATCTTACAGATTCTGTTTCTACAAATGTATGCTGTTTACCGGTACTCATTAACTTTGGAAACGCAGCAAGTAAACCTTCTATTCTGGCTTTTGTCATTTCAACAAACTGACGAGAAATAATAGCTGAAATTTTTACATATCACATAGTTCATATTAATTTAAATTAGTAGGTTAAAGATTAATTTACATAGAAATACACTATTTGCCCTCAATTAAACAGAAATAAATTTAATTATATTTATTTTACATAATGTAATAATATATATTTATTATATGTTAGTACCTTATCTATGAATGACACTATTTGGCATCAAATTTCATACTATTATCTGTTACCGTTACTGTTATAGATAAGGTGTTAATATATTAATTTAATTTATTTGGGTAGTTTAAATTAATCAAGAAAATTACTTGAATATCATAATTATTCATTATATTGATTAAGACATAGTAATAACTACATTGTAAATGTTAATACAAATATAAATTTGGGTAGACTAATTTGTTGAAATGGGAGTTAAGCAGAACTTTATTTATTTCAGTACAGGTTCTACCAAGTTATAAATAACATAAAAACTTGGGAAATCTTTATTAAATTTTTGACCATACAAAATTTAGGAAATTCAGCATGTTATAAAGGCATAAAATCTATAACCCAGTAATAAGTAACAAATTTAACATCAGCGTTTTAACAATTTATACATATAGATAGCAAGGAATTTTCATATGTTTAATACGACTTATTAAATTTGGCGATCAAATATCATTTAATTCAATATGGTCACACTATAAAAATTAAAAATTCCAAAAGAAAATATCTCATTCGTACTAATCTGACAACAGAAACAATTACGCTGAGTGATATAAAAGACTATGGTGATCTGACAATTGGAAATATGGTCATGTGAATGTGAAGGAATGTAAGTATAATGCATACATTATATGGACAGGTGCAATCATAGAAAAAAAGGCATTACTTACTTTTGCCTGCTTTAGTGCAGACCGCTGCGGCAATAAGTACCTAAAAGAATAACAAATCGTTTAATCGTGCAATGGATTTTAATTTTTCAATTCGTGTCGGTACAGCCACGAACGGGTGATTGACATCTGTGGCAAGTGGATAGACATACGATCATGCCGAAAATATGTTTCCGTGTACACGTACAGTGACAATGACTTAAATATAACAAGAAACAAATGCTCACCATTTTGACGAATTATTTTGATACGTTTCGTGCTGTACGATTAACCTAATACAATTTTTATATAAGCCAATCTTCCATCCACATCATATATACAAATACGAGGGCACGAGCAGAGGGCGCACTGTGCTGACGTGTGGCATGACGAAAGATGGAAAACCACGAGGTAGATGACTTAGAAGTACGGATATCGTTCCTGATTTAATCAAAGTAGAAATAAATAATTGAACTTCGTCCAATTTTACTAAAGGATAGTCTAAAGTTTAATTCATTTTTATATGCTATTTTGTAGCATATGAAATTTTATAATTATAATTTACGAATTCATCGTCCTCATAACGTAGAGGGCAGCAGAAAATCTCTGATTTTTTTGCACGAACGGTATTTTCATGGTATTTCAAAATATGGGACACGAAGTCCCACAGATGTTCTTCTCAGTTCTTGTTTGTGGTACCACTTTTGTATGAGCATACTTACTAGTGTATATTTTTCTCCATTTACTATTATTATACTAAACAAAATCTTTGTTTTTTTTTTAATTGAACAGTACGATAGAACAGTGATTCTGACTGTGTAGCAATGGCATAGTTGCACCCGGATGCAGACGTCTAATTCAATCATGTGTGACATGATGTGTGATCATTGACACTTTCACTTTGTTTATAACCTTGTCGATTGTTAAAATTGTAGGAATGATCTGTTATATTTAATATATTTTTTACATACTTATTACACATAGAAATTAAAATTGCTGTTACACTTCCAACAACATGTCGTTAACTATTGAAAAACAAATTGAACTATTGTTAGCTGGAAATCCATTAGAAATTGATGATACGCACGAACCTAGCCATGCCGTCCAAAATGATATACTAGGTAAAAATATATTTTATATACATTTTTATGGTACTTGATTTGGAAGACAATTTCTTATCATAAATTTTGCGAGCGCAAAAGTGTCAGTAATGCAGTTCATTAACTGTCATTATAAAAATTTGCAAATACATCACATAAATATGTTAGAAATGATACTCTATTTAGTCTATTATATTCTATATTATTTCTGGACTTTTTTACACAATAACTATGTCGGTATGATTTCTGTTTTTATTTGTAATGACGTCTTATTAGTAATAATCTTTAAAAGAAGGTATATGTTACAGGAATAAAAACTTCTAATTATGTTCCAATTTGTCAAAAAACTGTAACATACATTGTTGCTGCTGTTGTCATAAATGAGCAAGGAGATATTTTAATGATTCAAGAAGCCAAAGCTTCTTGTAATGGGAAATGGTATTTACCTGCTGGTCGAGTTGATCCCAATGAAAATTTATTAGATGCTGTTAAAAGAGAAGTTCTGGAGGAAACAGGTCTTATATTGAAGCCAGAAACATTGATACTTATTGAATGTGCAACTGGTTCATGGTTTCGATTTGTTTTTACTGGCAAAATAACTGGTGGTAAATTAAAAACATTAGATGAAGCGAATGAAGAATCATTGCAGGCACGCTGGGTAGATAATATAAATGACCTGACACTAAGAGCAAACGATATCATTCCTCTGATAGAAAGGGGATATTCTTATACTATGAACAAAGATACTCTACATCATTCAAATTTAATTCCAGTTAGTAAACCATTAAACAAATTATTATTGAGGCTTGTAATTACTTCAAAGAAGAGAGCAACGTAAGTTGGATATATTAAAAGATTGCTTCACTGAAATCTTATATCATGTTTAATTTTCACATTTATTTTTATATACAGGGTAACTCATTTGAATCTTTTCGCGCGATTATCCCCTCCCAAACTGTTGATTGTTTGCAAAAATGTTTCAAATAGAATTTGCTCTGCTTTGAAGGGGACATCATATGATGGAAACAAATTTTTTCTAAATGGAGATGCCTAGACGAGTTTAAGGTGATCTTTGTTCCTTTAAATGGACCTATATGTCTTTTTTTAGCTAAATGTGTAGCTTGCTTTGAGACTAATTCATTCCTGTAGGCCGTATGGGTCTACCAAAGTGATCTAAAGCTATTTATGTATGGTCATTTAGGCATGATATGTCCGAATCCGCGTTACGTTTATGATCGACAAATTTCTACGCTGCGAAAAATCTTATAGCCGTTCAGTGAATCTAGGCTTTGAAAGACCCATATGTCCTAGGTCAACGAACTAGTTTTACAGCAGGCTATGCGTCTAGCTGAAAAAGAATATCTATTTAAAAGAACAGAGATCACTTTGAAATCTTGGTGGCACCTCCACTTAGAAAAAATTTATTTCCAATAAGTTCTATATGGAACATTGTTGCGAAGAACCAATAATTTTGGAAATAATCGCGGGGAAAGATTAAAATAGGGCACCCTGTATGTATCACCGCTTATGCTTAACTTCTCTTTAGTATTTGCGCTTTCAGTACATGGTCACTGGTGGTAGTTTTCGTAACACAACAACGACAATCTGATTTTGACTGTGATTATGGATGAAGGCTTAGGTTGGTGTATACTAGGTACACATACGCACACGTGAACTTGTACATATACATTTGTAACAAAGATTTTACTTACTTATATATTTTCATTTCTTTTAAGACTTATAAATACTAACCGTTTCAATTCCTTTTCTAAACAAGAAATATAATTTGGTTATTCTTGAATTGAATTATTCCATACTGTAAAATATATATTCTGCATTGTATTAACATACATTTAGATGTAACTTATAAACTGTGTGTTTAATAGTTATCTTAATTGAAACAGTTGACACGTATGAGAAATCTTATAGTTGACTTTCTCTACAGGAATAAATTACATGTTCTTGTATCAGATACAACACCAGTTCATTTGCCAATTTGTGAAATTAATCCAAGTCGTAGTCTTCTCTCTACTTTACACAACTTCATGGAAGTAAGTTGCTATATTGTTTATGAAATTAAATTATGGAAATAGAATAGAGTTTTTCATAAAACAACTTATTATAGGAACTGTTCGGTAGTGGAGTTGCACAGCATAGGCCGCACGGTATATTTTCCGTAGAATTCAGTGGAGGACAAGGAGGAGATGGACTTCGTTTGACATTACTAGTATCATTCAAGCTGCCTGTAGAAGATGTTCCTACAATTGGAACATACATTTGGCATGAATTACTTGAAAATACAGCTGCGAATATATCTAACCGTCTTCCACGAAATATGACTGTGCCTTTAAATGTTATACGATAATTCAGTGTGTGTATATGAAAATTATACATTGCACAAGCTTGAGACTTCGTATGTACTGTACTTTGTATTAACTTATGGTCTATATAATTGAAAGCTCTTTAACATGATTAACAAACCATAAGTTCGAATACAAATCTTTTCTAAAAAAACATTTCTAAAACTGAATTATAAAAATGTTTGATAGTTCAATATGAAAAACTACATTTACATTATGTTATAAAATAATTATATATTAACAAGTATCTATATTTAACAATGACTAATTGTTGAACAGGAAAAATTTGTATAACTCTGAACTTACATTGCATTAACAACTTATATTACGTTTATCCTAGTCTATACCAATGATTCTTGTAACAAATGTGAGATATATATCATGCATCTTTCATAGAAATATATAATATAAGTAAATTAATTCTAAATTTAAACTATTCGTATACATTTCTATATATTTTTAGGAAAGAAGCTGTAAAAACTTTGAATTGTTACCAAAAGCTTTTAGATCTGTTTGATTCGATTTAAAAAAATCATAGTAAACAATTTTTGTAGAGCATTTTTAGAAAAATTTGACAAATTACGCAACGTATTGAATAGAAATTTATTTTTATACACTATCGAATATTGTAAACAGAGATTATTATTTACATTTCAAATAGATAATATATAAAACAAATACGTATAGTGTACCTTGAATTTCATAGGACACAAATATTTATGCACACATATATACATATTACTCGTATAACAACTACATTATAACATGCAACTGATACATATTATTAAAATAATATTTAAAGCGATCAACGATTTCGCACATTTCTGAGACTGTACATCATATATCAGTAATACGTATCTCAATATATGATACATGAATGTTTGCATTGAGCAGTTTTTCAACCAAATAAAATTTTTATTAAAACTAGAGTACAATTACGGCAAGGAAGTATTATGTATTTGTAACCTGACATTTTTATGTATGCATTTATGGCAAATAAATATTTTAATAACAGAAACTTGCAAAAATTTATTTTTCGTAAAATGTCACTAGAGAATATCTGTAAATAACATATGTGTAAAATTTTGGTATTTAGTATTAAAACTGATTCTACGATAAGATGAATCATAATGAATTTTGCTTGCATAAATCTCTAGCAGTATCTTCAAGTAATTCTATGTGTAAAATGCATTTATTTATTTATAATTATCCATTTATTAATTTATCAATGATTCATAATAAAATAAAAAGTAATCTTGAAATACTTTATTAAAATGAATATTACAAATGGTCAATAGAGCAAGAAATTTTAATAGAAAAATGATGTATTGTTTATAGTTACTTAGTCTTGTGACATAACAATAAATCCATCATTGATTAATATGTTATTCGGAATTGCACATATGTTATACAGAATTTTACATGTAATATTGTGAATTAAATTATATATATATGTAATTCCAAAAATATATACTCATACATTTACAGTCATTCAAGTGACTGTTGACATCTTTAAATGATTTAAGCTCTGATAAAAATATTTCTTTCGAGCGATTATAATCACAAAGAAAGATTTATAATCAGAATTGCTATTAAAGTATTGAATTACGTACATTTAATACATATTTAAGTCGACGTTAAGATTTCAACGCCACTTGTTAATCCCTTATCATTACCTTCATGTTTTATAGGAACAGTATTGCTTGCACTAGGTATCACTTTGATGTCAGTAGCTGAACTCAGCGGTAAATTATTTGTAAATGTACTTAAGGATCCAGCATTGTTACAATTAACTGTAGCAGGTATTGCCTGGTCTTCATTATTTTTACATTCATTAACACTAGCATTAATACCTATAGGATGTTTCTTCATATGAGTCGTTAAATTTCCACTGTGATAAAAATCTTTTCCACAAACTTTGCATTGAAAAGGCTTAATACCGGAATGTATCCTTTCATGTATTGATAAATTCCCGCTATGTCTGAATTCTTTACCACATATACTACATTTGTATGGTTTTACACCTGAATGAGTTCGTAAATGCGTCGACAAGTTTCCACTATGACTAAACATTTTTCCACATATTTGGCAACCATAAGGTCTCTCACCGGAATGTGTTCTCATGTGAATAACTAAATTACCACTGTGTGTAAAACACTTGTTACATTGATTACATTTATATGGTCGTTCTCCATTATGGGTCCTCATATGTATAAATAAATTACTTTTGTGACCAAATTCTTTGAAACATATTTCACACTGGCATTTAAACTTTTTTCCTTCATTTAATTCAGAGGAGCTTCTGGGTGGTCTTCCAGGACGATTCAATTTCATTGAGGGTACTGGCTCTGAAATTGTCATTACTTGATTTGCAAGTTTGGATTGTTGTACTCCTTCTGAAAGGAGTGACTGTTCATTTTTCATAGTAGCATTTGTATGGTATTGGTAGCATATTTGATTCTGGTTTATATTTCCATCTTGATTAACTTGGACCAACATACCATTTTGTACGTAGCCTTTCATGTATGCTATAGGATCATTTTCCTAAAATGTTCATATACATTAATAGTAAAGTGTCTTAACAAGTACCATGGTTTATGAATTTTATAAAGCATATTTGTTGAAATTATAAGACCCACTTGTATTCTAAACAAATTTTGTTGGCCACAAATTTCAGTTTTTGGTTGTATCTCATTTGACAATTGTGTATAATTCCAGAATTGCGGTAATTGATTATATCTGTATTCAACACCTTCATTATTGAATATCGGATGATTCGAATTATCCAATGGTGTATTAATTCTGTCATCTGAGTTAGCATCATCTACTCCTATACATTCATGTTTTATTTGTACAGGATTAAACATCTACAAATATACATTTAAAAAAACAATACCAATTAGTAAGTAATTATTTATACGATTCTATATTGTATGTGAAAGGATTAAATAAATTATAAAATATTAATTCATTAATGGTAAATTGTGTGAAAATTATTCAGAAATAAGATACTGATCATGCAATTTTCGTAGAAAAACACATACATTTTTATATCGATGTTTTAAAATTATCAATTGCTATGTTATTGTTTGTAATTCTTCATAATTCGATTAATTATCAAGCAGACAACATAAGTGACACACTATCACTTCACTCAGGCTGTTCATTGTGCATGTATAGCACAAATGATTCTTAACAAACATCCCTTAAAATATTATTAAATACATTAATTAAATAATAAAGGGTTGGTTGGGTTGCATCAGACCATTAAGTCTCGCTTTGTTCAGTGAACGGCACAAATTTTTTCATGTTATGTACTCAACAATGCCATCTATACAAATTGTTCATGTGCATTCGAAAATCAACTGTTGATCCTTTTTGAATGGATAGAAGATTATATCAGGAAATAATTAAAATGTTAGAATTAATGTTCATACATAGTTGTTATTGTTTCTGCTAAAAAATATTTCGATGAAATTGTTGGACAAAGATAAAAATTCTACGTTTCGTTAACTTTACTTGAAGAAAATGATTCAGAAACAAAATATCTTATTAAAAACAAAAGATATTAAAAAATTAAGCACAGTAAAAAATGGGAATAAATCAGAAATTAGAAACAAGAATTTGTCCAAGGACCCGTAACCCCCGTAATTCCCTACTGCCAAAATTAATTTTTAGTATTAAAACAGAATGTTAACTGCATATACTGTTTATTACTGACCAGTTTAACACATGGAACTTATATTTTATTTTCAATTCATAAAGTTCTAGTTTTTTTTTAAAAAGAGGGTTGTAACTATGGCCATTGAGCTCTAAGGGTATCCTAAAAATGTTGTAACTCCTTGAAAGGGGTGAATCCCGAGGTGATTTGAAACAATTTTTTCCTTAGGGAAAAAGTTCTCCGAGGCTTTATCAACGAGATATTAATTAATTTTACTAGAGAGGAAATGAGAATTCCTCTCTTGCTCGCACATCGCAGGAGGGGAGAAAGCTATTGGGGGCCGATGAGGAAATGGAATGCTGCACGTACGGACCGTACGGTACGGTGACGAGTAAACTCGGCTTTCACTAGGGGAAAAAACGGTGTAGAAAAAAAGTCTTCTATCACTTGGTAAATTTATTCGTTAGCGGAAGTCGAGTTTGCACGCGAGGGTAGTCTCTCTACAGCTGTAGGAGAATCCCCCACCAACAGCCCCATTAGAAAGAGAGAAATGTGATTCCAGTTATTGTTTCCTCTCTTTCTAGTGCCGACTTCATCCCTACCATAAGACCACAGGAGTTTCCGGACCGTGCGTTGGACGGACCATAGTACCATTAATCCCCGCATGGTGTGCAGTATACACATGTTCTGACTACGCGAGACATGAGACCTATGAGACTGCGTCGTCTAGACGTTATATGTATGTCTATGACATAAAAAGGTTATCCTTGGCAACCCTGTCTGTGATTTCGTTAGCAGTTCATGTCGGATTTAAGTGGTAGATTGTAGTTTTTCTAAAACGTTATTGAACGTTTTAATTTACAATGGCATCCGTGGACTCTGGAGTGGAGATGGGTAATGATTCGAACGATAGTTCGATTACTCAACACGAAAATCTCTCGCCGTACCAAATGAGCAATGTCAGTTCGACTATGGCCACAACAACCACACTAACAACAACAACAGCAGCAACAACAACCAACAGCGAGAACAAAGCAAATTCTTTTCACATTGAAACTGGACCTATCCTCAGTTTGCGATCGTTTTCATTTGTACCCGTAATTGGAACTCACACACGCACCGGGGGTAATGAAATTTCGACGCCAACGACTAGTACTGGACCAGTTGTCGTATACTACCCTAAAGTATGTATTTTTTTTACTTAATTAATGTATTTTTGCTGAGACTGATACATTTTTGGTCTACCTTAGTGTTAACGATATTTGCTGTTTAGAATTTGTTTAAATGAAACGTAAATTGTCAAGATTATGCACCAAATTAGGTGAATGTGTTTTTCTTTTTTAGTAAGACCAAGTTCAAAATATAGAGCTTATACTTGTTCTATAAAGTATGAAGCTGATACTTGGTCCACAAAATATAACAGACTTGTAAAATTTGTACCTTGAAGAATAGCACTAATAGCAAAACTAATGGCAATTTAATTCAAGTGTGGTACATTTTTGATTACCTTTGGTGAGCTGAAAAACCTTTCAGCTTTAAAACTCAATGAAGAGGGTTGTCCAAAGGTGTAGAAGACGTCTATGATTACTTAAATAAATTTTACAAGTCTGTTATATCTTTTATATCAGCTATATATTATGTAAAAAGATTGTAACTTCTTAGGGGAAAGTCATATTTATATCTTACTTAACATTTCATATGTCTATGTAAGTTGTCTTCTGTAATATTTCTTGTGTCTATACAAGTTGGTTTTTAAATAATAATTAGTTACAATTATATAATTAGAATATTGTTATTTGAATTATAATGCTATCATGCTTTCATGTAATACAGGAAATAAAAATGCATGAGAATGTGGCATATTGGAGTTCAGAAGTTGTGACTGGTAGGGATCGTCGTCTTTGCAACAGCAAACCTGGGAAAATCGACTCACATTTTATCCGTTTCACACGTGCTTCGGCTTCTAAAGGGTACCACGAGGTAAGGGCATGCTTCCTGATTCCGCCTATAAAATACACCAATGGGAAATTGTTCATATATCTTTAGTACTTATATGTGGCTTATACAATGTTTTGCATATGCGTATGATGTATTTCGTACAGGCGACAGAGTAGACTATAAAAAGATGGAGTTGTAAGTTAAATAGACAATGTATAGTAGGGATTGCTCCCCATCTTCCTCGACCAACAGAAACTTGTAAACTTGAGTACAGTAATTTCATTTCTAACACGTTTGTTACCGCTAGAAAATCGTGAGGAGGGGTGTCATGTTTTAACGATTCATATTGTCATCCACACATACACATAAACGCCGTTTCCATGCTAACAGACAGATATTACACACGGACGTCACTTTTGATGTCGCTCAACTCTTGATGCTGCGGTTGATTAACACGAGAAAGTCACCGGTCGATACACTGTTCACGCCTGGCAGCGAACGTGTCAATAGAAAAATTAATGGGTTGTAAAAATGATAAATACAGTAATGATTTCCGTAATGTTCGGAAAGATTTCAATGTGATCAAAATATATCATGTTTGGTATCGTTTTAAGCAGAAAAATCTCAACCAATATGTTAATAAAATTTTTATTAACGCGGAACTAAATATAAAGGTGTCCCGTCGTTGGATTATTTAGAGTTGTGTCGTCGATGGCAGACCATGGGAACCATCGAAATAACAGAAACAATCCTGTCACAGTTTTCGAACTTTATCCGGATATAATGATTCCTCGATGAATGTGATACGAGCAACGTTACTCCCACCACTGGGGGTGTCCCCCTTTGGATTCAATCTAAAGAGAGTAAACAATTTTATGAGGGCCTGAAAATCTTTCCGCCTTGCCATGAATGCTCCTAAGCGGACTCGAGTATGTCGCACTCATGGAGACATTATTGTACTTTGAAAAGTGCAAACCAGGACCACCTGAGTCTCTCTCATTCAGTCCAGATATTCCTAGAAGGCACATTCCCAAAACCCTTGGGCGGTCTTTCTCACTTACATCTTTGAAAAATACACCAAACATGGGTGCACCCGTTATTGCTTTTTTTTTTTTACAGCCGTAGTTATGGCAATCTCATCGACGATCTCTGCGATACCGACAATTTTCGATTCGCTCAGTCACTCATCTTGTTCGGTCACTCGGTTTGAAATCGCCAATGCATAAGCGGCTTAACTGTTTCAAATCGGTCCCGAGTTCTGAATATTAAGGGAATCTTTAATGTAATATAGGAACAGATTCTATTAGGATTCCATAAAAATTTATAACTTAATTTTGTCCTTTCCGAGTCTTGCATAAGTTTTGTGAATGCTGCATCATTTGTCAAGAAAACATTATGCTCTTCTGTACTTTCATAGTAAATATGTTATTAAATTTGAATTGTTACAGAGCTCAAAACTGAGGTGTCCTTACTCATATCCAACAGATAGATTATCAATGTCCGCAGGAGTAAGAAAATACAGTATGTAATTCTTGGAAATTATTTGTAAATTATGTAGTTATTTCGTATATTTCTTCTTTTAATGTCGTGAATTATTCAGTCTTTCATTTTCTGTTTCTGACAGTTAATAATGTTAAAATCTTATTACCTTCTTTTTAAGAACCTAACTGTCACGGAAAGATTAAATCAGTCTGTGCAGTACGAAACCGTCATGAGACCTCGAAGTACGCTACTTTGATTCGCTATCATAAATTTCGAGTTGCAGTACGTAGAAACAACATTATCGAGATGAGAGAATTGTTAAGTAGCGGTATATCACCTAATGAAGTGGATATTGAGAATGGACAAACTGCTTTACACATTGCTACTGCCAAGTAAGTTTAAACAAATTTCAAATCATACGACATTTTCCATTTTTAGCAAATGAAATGTTGTACGGACATTTCTTCTATTTCTAAAACGCTAATTTATATATTAATCGTATGTGATATAAATTATTTTAGGAATTATTATCGGAACAATGAATATTAAATGAAAAAGTATAGTTAGCTATAATGAGTGTAATAATATTAACCCTTAAGGACACGGACGGCGTATACCGTACGCCATCGGGTACGGAGAAGTTTTCTATTTCTCTACATTTTTTTTTCTCGAAAAATGTTTTTTCCCCTCCTAATTATCTATCATTAAAAAACAGAATATTATTAAATTAATTAAATAACTTACGAAAAAAGGGAATGGTGTATTCGCGGTTCATGTCTATGAGGGTTAAATACGTTTTTACAATGTTACCAATTCTACTCTTACATAACATAGTAGACTTATGATTGATCATTCAATATTTTTTACGTAAAAAATTAGTACGTCTAACAACTCGCTTTTTTGGTTGAGCATTGTGTGTTCACAACAATCACGTTTGGACGAATTGTCATATATACATTATTCGTGTAGATATTAATACAATGTACAAAGTGACTTTCTTCAATAGGGGTAACACAGAAATGGTGCAGCTATTACTAGAATATGGCGCAGACCCTAATCAACCTGATTGTCGCGGCAACACTCCTCTACATACAGCATCTGACACAGCATCTGACACAGCATCTGGCACAGCATCTATTTTACGTCGCGTATCAATAATAACGCTTCTTTTGAAAGCAGGAGCGGATGTCTCGTCGCTGAGTAAAGACGGATATAGTCCGTTGCAATTGGCAGAGTCACGTTTAAAATTAGTTCAAACGTTTAAGGTTAAGGGAGTGGAAATGTCTATAGTAAAACAAGAGCTGAACGACATAGTAAATATGTTACTGACGTATCTACAAAAGCAGAAAAGTTCCCATGAAAAATTGGAAACCTTGAGCTCCTTTTATTCACGTTTATCTTTGTCAAGCACAGTCGATCAGGTTCAGGACGATGTAAAAGATCTGCTGGCTAAATTGGATGCTCTTAATATAACTAGTTAATTATTTCAATTAACAATTGTCAGTCTTATTGACAAAATGAAACGGAGCATGGAATTGAAGAAAATATGAATATCATATACATTCAATTATTTAGTATGCAGTGATAAATTTTATTTTTTTTGTTACCCAATGAGTTGCATGGAAATTGTCTTCTAATTTATATTCGCATGTTGAGCAACGTTAAGGTTTGAATGTAAGAAATGTTGAAACCATAACTGATTCAGTTCCTGTGAGTGTTAAGATTGACTTATTGAAATTATTGTAAATCTAACAGCAACTTCAATTTTTTTTTTTTTTTTTTAAATAAGTTTTGATGTTTTTCATTATTAATGACATGCTTAATGTCATATACTGCATACATTTAAACTGGATCTCCACGAGAAATATCTTTACTCGCTGTTAAATTATTGCTTTTGGCAAACATTTTACTAATTAATGATTATGGCTGGGCACTGTATGCCCAGTATAATTGAAATAGGGAACATTAATCAGACAAATATATTTAAAAATGTAATGACCCAGTGGCTTACGGAAAAGCTCAATTCTAGAATAACAGTAAGCCCTATGTAAAGTACATTACAAAAAATATGTTCAGACGGCCTCTGAAATATGTTGCTTCTCGCGATTTTTTTTTTGTAGTCAGCGTTTTAGATTGGTTTGTATTTGCCAAAGAAAATGCAAATTCTGTTGGATCTAAGACTTACAATATACATTGTAATTTTATAAAAATAATCTTACGTTTTGGAAATTATTTTAAAATTGGACCACGTGTCAGAAACTTTTTCTTTAATTCGTTTAATTTTAAGCACATTAATACACAATAATGTACTTCCGAAAAAGAATTTATTGCACATTTTCATAGCATTATGTTTTATACTGACTGATAAAAGAAATCTATAAGTGATCATTACCTTTATTAAGTTTGTCATGCTGCAAATAGAGTGTTGCTGGCAAAGATGTATTTTAATTATACAGAGACACATTGAGAGAGAGCTGCTATACGTTTATTTTTATAAATGTCTAAAACATGTATACAAACGAAATACTTCATATTAATCTATTTTTATTCCTACGCAAATACGTATTCATTATTTTAATTTTCTGTTGTGTGTTATTGTAATTTGTATTTTTTTTTATATAAAACGTAATGGTTCATTTTTTTTATAAAATGATATTGCTGCATCAGCATACTTACTTCTTTTCACTCTGTTTGCAGCCACAATATAAGTTAATGCGAATATCCGATAAATTTGTGAGAATTGAAATAAATTATAAGCATTGCACGTTTTTCTGTCTGAGTGTACCTGTTTGGAAGTGTTGAACCAAAACTGTTGGCATTTATTTATTCTCTGCTGCACAGTGTATTTGTTGGAGATGCAATCGAGATTAAGAATAATGCGTGTTACATTTCAACAGCAGGTATAACCAGAGGACTTACATAATGAATTAAGTTAAATTCAACTTTTGCAACCAAATGCTTGTCAGCCTCGAGATGACAAGTGGTAACCAATGTAATTTTTTCAACGTTTGGATTCATAGAATCTTTTAAAATACGTTCCGACGAACGAAAGATTCTAAATAGAAACTACCGCATTTTTTGTCACATAGGTAAATAATTCAAAATCGCGATACTCCTAATACCATTTAATAAAGTCCGATTGTACCATCTAAATAGTACTTGTATTGTTACCCCGTATACGAACGGGGGCATGTAAATAACGTATGCATGTAATTACTTTATACTTTCTGTACATAAGTAATTTTTTTGTTATCGGTACTTATAGAACTTTGAATAAAGTATCTCAGTTTAATAAGAACTTTCATATGTACATATATGTATTCTCCCAATAAGGTACGAATCAAGTATATTGAAAGGAATTGTTAATTTTGAACACTGTGATATTTATCAAATCTCCTTTAATTTCTCATTATTGTGTCCTTTAACATAAACGTGTACCATAGTGTACACGTTATTAGAGAAGGATAAAAAAAAACTTTGGGTTACTATATATGTAGATTTATGTTTGAAATGAAGAATTACGCTACATTTCTTGTACTGGTTATTAGCAATAAATAAATTATAAGTCGAAATAATTATTCTATTATTTTTTTCTTGTAGTCTACATATCGATTTAATTATATTCTCTTTGGAAACAAAAATACCTTACATAATTGAATACCCACTTCCATAAATAGTTGGAATTTTTCTTGAAGATTGTATTTGAAATAATGTACACTGACCCGCAAAGTCGGCTACCGCTAGGGGAAAAAAGGACGTAGAGGAAGGACCTTCTACAACTTGATAAATTTATTTCAAGTACTGAAATAAATGTTAATTTGGCATAAATTTCGAAAACTTCCGAAACCAAGTGGTAGGAGACCCTTTCTCTATGCCACTTTTCCCCCTAGCGGAAGCAGAGTTTGCACGTCAATGTACAAATGAAGTAATTTCTTTTGATAAGTAATGAATATTCGATTAAAATTATATTGTGTTCATATGGTACCAAATGTTTTAATAAGTTTTAATTACTTTTTAGGGATTGTGGTTAACTGTCTTATTATTATGATGATGTACTTCTATACACATATACTATGGCATTTTACATATTGACAGACAATTACAATCTGATATTTGAATTTTATGAAAAATCGTTATGTATATATTATATGGTGTTTTTTTACGTATATGCATGTGGATTTCAAGGATGACAAGTAAGTTATACTTTGAGCGGCCACATAACAGGTTTCAACCAAATGTATTATTAAATATTTCTTTAATTAAACAATTTTAATTTAGTTTACAGTGCCATAAGTTAAATACTTTCATATCACATAAACTCGTATACAGACAGAATTTACAGTATTTCATATTAACAATTCAACTTGTTTCTTTTTGTTAGATCTATTAAATCAGAATTATTAACCGTACTTTCTGTGATTGTCTGAGAATACAAAATAAGAATATGTATTTATTGTATTTAAAAACTTGCTGTGTGCAAAAATTACTGCATTGGGTAAACATAATTTGTTAAAAGTGTAATATTTTGATAATATGAAAATTATACGAGCGTACATGACAATTCTTGACATAGTTTGTAATATAGGTATAAACGTAAGATTTGGCACAAAAGAAATAAAATTTAAAAAATCATCTTAGTAATACATAGCGATTCTTATATATCTCTTGGCACAGATTTACAACGCCGAAATTATGTACAATATAATTTATAAAAAATCATAATTATCACGTTCGTTCATGTCGAACAAATATTTATCAATTTTCGTGTAGTGTTTACCGAAGAACACAGACCAATTCATTACAAAAGCTCTGCTTCTCAATATCAAAGCGGCAATTGAATAACAATGTAAGATAACTTTGTAATTATCTTATTATATCATTTTAATATTTTTTCTAATACAATATCAAATAGTCCCCTTGTATTTCATAATTATTTTATTTACAAAAATTCTTTATGCATTATCTATATGCTCATGATTAGGTATGACATTTTCAATATTTTTCATTCTACTTCGATAATTATGATATGTTCTTAAATCGGAAAAAGTAGTTAACGATACTCTAAAAAAATACTTCAAATATGAGCATAAGACAAGAAGCCGTTAACACTAACTTGTACCGACACTGACTTTTTTTTTAGCAGTAAATGCGATTCGCTAAATGTATAAGATTTGAGCACTATTGCTATAAAATCAATACTGTGTCGCTGACATTGGACCAGGTAACAATATAACTTTCTAGTCCATAAAATGCATTTGAGCTACAAAATCAGTATGTTCGCACATAGTTAATCTTTCTGATCTATTTAGTCCTTGTGTTGTGCTAATATTGGAAACCACAATGTATTCATTGTACCATCATATCAGAAATACAATGTGTATATCATCCAAATACAAAAGAAAAAAACACTAATCGCTAATTTGATTAAATATAAATGGCCTTTCGTAATAATTAATGGCGAAGAAAATATACAATCTGATTCTTATGTTGTAAGCTTAACAATAGTACTTGCTCACTAGCACAAAGCCTGTGGAATATTTCAAGTATTGTGCGTCATACGGGAAACAGTCCAAAAGACATATACCTTAGGCTAACAGATGCAATTGAATTGTTACCAGTTAACGAGCACTATTGTATGATATTATATAAATATTAAAACTCTATGAAATAACCATTGGCGTTAATACAAACTATGACTGCGTTGACTTCGTTAAATTAAAAAATCCGTTGAATACATTGCATGGAATGATTTGTGTTAAATTCACAGTCTAGAATATACACCTATCACCACGTTGGACTAAAAGTGCCAATCCCGAATGTACATTAATATATTTAATACAGTATTGTCGCCAGGGGCATGCTACCGCACAATTGAACTCAATGTTTTAGGATTGTACCATTTGATTCCGTTGCTAGTTCCTTAGACGGTTGTCTGCCATCTGTATCAAGGAGACATCACCGACGCCAAGGACGGAAATATCTCTGCTTGCAACGGTCCGTAGTCTGCTCTTTCCCCGTCCACGGTTATGTGACCAATCACGCCGTCCTCTGGTTCTATTCGGAATGCCTTTACGGGTATCATGTCGATGCCAGAACGTGTTAGATGGGTACCACTACTTAAACCCAACAGGAACTAATAGGCACAATAAGTACTTCTTAAAATAATGTAATTACAAACTACGACGAGATTACGTTAGATCTAACTTAACTAAGATAATAGCCAAACTATAGTATTATTTCATTTTACAAATTATAATATTGAAGCTACAGATAGTTTTTCCAATTGACTTTACTCTACTTTAACAATTCTACGTTTTAGAAGTGTCTACATCAAAACAATGAAACAATATAAAAATGATTTCAACACTATCATTAAGCCATGGTATAATTTTACGCTCTCAAGTATATACAGCAAATCCATGATGAGTGTTCGAAGGCTCCTCGGCACTGACAAGGAGAGGTTCCCAGGTGTAACACTGACTTTTTAATGAGATTCAGCACAGTGATAGAGTTTCGAATTCTGAAGCCGCTGATATTTATTTCAGTCGCATATGGCCAACAGATTATGAAACATTTAATGTTCAGTACCGAGGAGCCTTCGACCATTCATCGATGATTTACTGTACAGTCTGTTGAATGTAAGTTACAGAGCCAAAGATATAGCATTTAATTAGACTATTTACCTGCAGTAAAGTGGCCCGTGTAATACCGGCTTTAACTATTATGAGCCAAATAATACCATCCGCCAATTTGGCACGGGGCGCGAAGAAGTAATCCTGACCCAAGTGTGACTGATACGCCGCGTGAACCATAACAAATTCACCTGAAATATACAAGAAAGTTCCAGTTACTTCTGTAAATAACCGAGATTATTATATTATATTCGACACTAGAAACTTTAATTGCATTTTATGTTGATTCATCAGGGTAATCATAAAATAATTAACAATGCGGCTTTGTCTGATACATAATAACTGTTCTTATCATCGTTTAAGGCGTTTGCCTGATATTCCATCGCGATCTCGGAATGGGTGTATATCATGTCCAAATACGGGTCATGGGTAAAGTAAAGCTACTACTTACATCAATGTTTGTCCTTCGCGTTTCGCACGGTTTTCAGCCACGAAACAAATGTAGCTACGATACCATATCTATAATGGGATCGCGGTGGCGGATAAAGGTGTTGAATATGTAACAACATACAAGACATATACTATATGTGCTACGGTAAGATTTGAACCACCACACATTTGTTTCGTTGTGCTGTCACCCATCTCAAACATAAATTTAGATATTTGCATATCTGTACTTTTAATCTATCCGATTGTTATTTATTTCACTGTACCACAATTAGGTAGTTGTAGTGCATTACAGTATTACATAGTGGAATTACAACACATTCGATTGTACATATGATTCACTGTAAAACCAACTTCTAGATTCTAGAGGATTGAGTGTGCTCAAAAACAGCGAATATACAGAGTGACTTGATAAGAACTACTGTCTACAATAACTCATTACCTAATGGTTGTATCGAAAAATACGTTTGAATTAATTATATAGCATTTTAACCCTTGTATAGGCAACCGGGTACCTAGGTACCCATTTCTAAATTTCCTTTCACAATTTTTCAGGTTCTTGTCTAAAACAGAACTTGGTATATTATAGGAAGGGAACACTAAGAGTTTCGGAAAAGTATGAAAGTAAAATTATCTGTTTATTTAATCTGTCAGAATAGGAGTATTCCAATTGCTCAATAACCGTGAATATTTTGGTTGCCCATACAAGAGTTAAGGGACGCATCGGATGGATACAATTTGATTTTGTTATACTTTTTTTTTAGACATCAAGGTGACCTTGAGTTTTTTCAAGGTCAGTGCATCTTTGTTTTAATACCATCATGCTATAGTTCACTGAATTCGTCTTTCCATCGACAATAACGTGGTATTAAAAAAAAGTTTCACTGACCTTGAAAAAATTCAAGGTTATCTCAATATCTAAAAAAAAAAAAAAATATAAAAAAAGTTCAATTTTATCCTTCCGACGCGTCTCTCAAAATGTTACTCAAATATTTAATCAATAGGTAATGAGTTATTTTAGATAGTAGTTCTTATCGACTCATCCCGTATTCGAGTAAGCAATTCTTTAGTGACAATATACAGGTTCTTACCTTGAACTTGCGTCCAAGAACTTGGCAATTCGGAAGTCAACGCAGGCAACCTCGAAGATGGACCATACATAGCTTGGTTAATGTTGTTCCCTGCATCTTAATTATACAAGGATTATTATTACAACCAGAGACAAAATGTTAACGATCTTAGCGTGTGATTTCAATCTTAAATTTTCATTTTTATCTATACTTTTATTTTTGGAACATTATAGTTCCCTTATCTCCAACGATTGTGTACTAGCTTTATAGAGGGTGTTCCACACAGTCTACTCTTCAAAGTTTTCATTCAGAACCTTCCAATTTACTTTCGCCGTCTATTTAAGTATCGATTCTCTATTATTATAAGAATCACTGTACACACATCAATTTTGTCGACAGCATCCAAACATCGATAAGTTTGATTCCAATGCAAATACAACATCGTCTACTATCTGTATCAACTACAACTGGACTGAGTCCATTATCTGATAATTTAAATGAAACAAGCGTGAAACAAACACAAACAAATGCAGTGACTGAATCGACTAATGCTGCTAGTGAACATTTCGACCCACATTTGTTGCAATCACTGAGGAACACACTCCTGTACAAGAACATTGGTCAACAGGGCCATGAAAAAATATTGTATAGGCTACGGGTAAACGTATACACTTAATGATCCTTGAGAGACCAAGTTCAATGGCTAGAGACGGTGATTCTATCCTTGGTAGAAAGTTAGAAACTCACCGATTTCCCCATTGTCTGGCTCGACGATGCTATGGTAACTAGAAATTGAACCCGTACTAAAGTAAGTGGATCTCGCGGACGTCGCGGAATAAAAGCTATCCAGCCTGTGCCGTTTCTCCGCTTCCGTTTCGAGCGTGATACTTTCGCTTATTATCTCGCTATCTTCACAGCCATCGAAGTCGTCCAGAATAGCTGGATCACCGTCGAGCGCGTCGTGGTAGCTCTTCGACTCGCTGATTTTACTACACCTTGAACAGATAACGCGTAACACGTCGGTTAGTCTCTAAACGAATCACAACGTGTGTCAACGTTGTTCAACATCAACAACACGAATTACAACTATTGTGTCTGAATAGATAAGTGTAATAATTAAACTGCGGATTTTATGCATTTATAGCTTATAGAGTTCTGTGAAATACAAAAAAAGACAAAAATTTTCCATTTTATTCTTAACTTAATAAGATACTTAAGGGAAGAAAGAAATTCCTACGTTTGTTCTTGTTTTCATAAATTACCTTATAAAATCTGATTTTGTATAAAAATTCGCAGTTTATTAATAATATTCGTAACACTGATACAGTCGACAAAAGGATCAAGGAATCACCTTCATAAACCCGAAAAATCAGTTCAAATGTCATAACTACGGGAAAAATGGTGGTATCGATATGAATCGTTATTTCGTATAGCTTTATTTTGTGCGAATCGGTAACCTTAAACATAGTGGTCACAGGGTAAATAAATGTGGCAGCGGTTTCGTCTGCCGCTTAAATGAATCGGCAGACCCTCCGCTTTAAAATGAACTTAAGATCTTGGTGTTGTGGTTATCCTTTGCCGAGATACAGCGAGTTAAAAAACGGTTTGTAAAAAGTAATTATCAAGGAAGTTTAGTATCGTACTTTAGAAGTATCGATAAGTAAAATGATCGATGACCTTGACTCCTGAGTGACCTTCACAAGGTTTCAGTTATTAAATGTTGTTTATTAAAAAGTTATTAGGATAACAAAGATACCTTTTCTTGAACTGTCTCTAACCAACTCTGAATGACTTTTTTTCTTAAACCGTGTCTAATCAACTCTGAAGCTTCATACTGATCAGAGTTGATTTGATACAGCTCAAGAAAAAAAGTAACTTGTTTTGATAATGACTTATTTACAAACGGCGACCCCAAACTAAAACCTTCACAGTACTACTCAGGGTGATGACCTTGACAACATATTAAAAAATCATGTAAAATCGGAGGTGGTTCCCTTACTGTAAATATTTATCAAAAATGCTGTTCTCAAATATGTTAACCCTTTCTTTTTTTGGGCATGTCCCGCATTGCAACATAAAACATCTGGTCACCTTATCTGATAACGATGATTGAACTGTTACAACAACACATTCTCTCAGATCTTTCACAACTTCCGTTGCAATATAAGAATGAAGAAATTAATTCATTTCTAAATTCGAATATTTTCAAACGTTTTTTCATGTTTTTATCGACGTGATAGAAATAAATACACGTTTGTCTTCGGTAGTACTAGGGTTAAATAGGTAGCCTGTAGTTAATCCATCCAGATGAAAATTCACCTATCCAAATCGTCACCGTAGCTCCTCGAGTGCGATATTTGAGCATCTTTCGTGTATTCGTTGTAGGCCTTGCCGTTTCCGAGACTCTCGGCGGACGGTACTTTATCACACGGCAGATAGGACACCTTGCCCCTGTACGTTCGTAATCCTATGAGACGGGCGACGCTCCACACGGTGAACCTTTGGCCGCCGATCGCTCGTAGGCGTTCACTTTCAATGTCAATGTCGGCCAACAGGCCCCAGCCGATAGACAGAAACGAGAATAGTATATGTTTCCTCGTCTCGACCCGGACCAGGTCCATCTGCGCGGTCTTATACTTGACCACAGACAGCGCGCTGACCAGTAGAGGATTGTAATCGTACGGCTCCCTGAAAACAGAAGAAATGATTTTTAAGAATTTCAGCCCAAAAGCTGGGGATAGATTTCTCAAAACTCCTCGAAACCCAAGAACGGTTCGAGTTTCAAGAATTCGAGAAACTTGGCACTTTTTCCGTGATTCGAAATTCTTGAAAGTCAGGTAAGAAAAAATATAAAAATGATTAACAATGCATCGTTCGTAGCGTGTCCCAAGAGTCAATTATTCACAAAACATTCACCACGTTTTTCTGCCGAGAAACGTATACATATGTACCATCACGGATCCAGTTCCTGATCAGAATTCAATTCCTGATCAGTTTAGCATTAAATACCATGTAACAAGTTTATCATAATAAAGCTTATTTTCCAAAAAAATTACGAAATAATTATTAACGATTTTGCAGACATATGATTTAGGTCTTAGGTGATCAGAAATTCTTCCCTTTGCACTTTCAAAACATAGATCAATTCGAAAAGCAATAACTCTTCTGAATTTCGTTAATTTTTTTACTTATTTGCTGAAGTTATCAGGAACTGGGTTCGTAACGGTATGACCCCTGAAGGTCAGCTGAAAAAGTAGTTTGGAAGGAAAAATCGATCGTGCACAAGGATAACGATCCTAAACATCGGAGCCGTACGTGTACTTCTTTCGCTCCTAATATATTATAAATTACGTGCATACGTTCGAAGGTGACTCGTCGAATCTAAGAAGGAAAAGACCTTGATACGAAGGACCTTGCCGCGGAGAATTCATGTCTCTTATTGATGGTGATTGCAAACAGGTTTCAGATTTCGTAATCGACCAGTTTAGAGCCCATCCGTCAGACTGCCATTCACTTTGAAAGACAGCAGATGGACGACCGCGCGGAACGAATCCCCGAGGCCTGACCTTGCTACCGGTTCGCCTCTGTGCACGATTCAAACGGACGTCACACTTTTAGCCATTTTTGGACATATCGGCCAACCATCCGACGAAGAGAAAAAAAAAAGAAACTAATCGATTCTCTGCGTCACCATCAGGGAAACCGGGACAAACCGATTGGATGACGGTGAAAAAAAAAGAGGCAAAGAATAGAAAAAGATGCAATGGAATACCCTGTATATAAGTCTTTTGTTATTTTACATTCACTTTAGGAATTTCCAGTCAATTCAGGTGGAAATAAGTGGAACAAACAAAAATTTTTTTCCTTATAAAAAACATGTAATTTTTTTGTTCATTTTTAAGAAAAAATTTGAGAGTTCGTCGAATAAACCAAAGGAAAGCAAGTGATGTTGACGTTAATAGCGACATGCGTAGAAGATATGTATGTACCTACTACTAAACGCATTGACACCTCAGTTTGCATATTTTGATCTTAATTTTTAGGTTTATTTGATCGTTAACATATATCTTTTTTTCTGTGCCATCATAAACTCCGTAAATAAAAAATCTAAAACCACCTAATTTTTTGTGAAAACGTCATTTTTTGTAACTAAATAAGAAATGATTATCTTCTCAGTATAAACTACAGTTCCATGTGGCTCGTGTTAAAAAGACATTTTTATAACGTTTCTTTTTCAATAATTTTATCGTTGACCTTGCGATGTTTTGGTAGCAATCGAAAGTTGAAGCTTTTAAGAATGTTCTGTTTAATTTTCAACTAAATTTCTAATTATTACAAATTTGCGTGAGTCACCGTGAGTCGTGTCAAAAAAATCAAGGCGTAGCGATATTTCAAGCAGCATTCTCTCGAATACGAAGTCTTGAATAAACAATACTTCCTTTTTACAACTTTTGATGTATTTTTACACGAGGCATCAGCTCCGATTGCTGCTCCCATGGTCACAGAGACACGATTTACAAAATTTCGTAAAATATTCCGTGCATTTGTTATACGAGGACCAATTAAATTATTTCTGGTTTCTCGCTCGACCCACTTTCATCGTTAGTGACGCAACTATGCGGGGAAGTCAGTTTCACATAAACGGTAACTATTATATTCTTTCAGCGCGAGTATAAATTACCTTGCAATTAAGAGAACAATTACCTAAGAGAGAGATCAGTTTACATAATAACAATATATTAGTCGAACCCAGAACATTTTAAAAAGTACAATTTTAGCGTCTAACCATTGGAAATTTAAAGTGTTTTATTTCCAAATAAAAATTAAAAAGTATTTGATCCTCGGAGTACGAATCGTAAGAGACTATTTTTTTTTTTCGTCGTTTAAACAATTCAGTGTTTGTGTTCGTCGATGGATCATCGGTGACCCGGCCATAGAAACTCGAAGGTTTGACCCCATATTATCCTATGTTTCTTGTTCCTCCTTTTTTCTGTAGTTTCATCAATTACAGTTAATTCTTAATTGAAGATAACTCATTTCAAAGATGAGTAATTCGACAACGACTACTTTGTGACACGTTTAATAACCAAGTGAAAGTTATTTTTCGTTATCGTCTGGGAAATAATTTGCCACTTACTGTTAATTGAAGGTACTTAACTAGAGCTTCCAAAATTCTCCGCTAGGTTGTGCCAGTAAAGAAAAACTCAAATTCGTCTCTGCACCAAAGAATCTAAATCAAACTATCTAGACTAGCATGTAACAATTAAGACTTATTTTATTCTTTATGGAATTATTAATATTTTAAAGTATACCACTTAGGAGTTCAGTTACTCTCGATATATATATGTATAAGTATTTATATTTTATATGTAACAACGTTATTATATATGTTATTATTTATATACATAACAAAGTTCCTATTTTTGTACATTACATGTTACACCAATGGACTTTTTAGGTTTAGCATTTCATTATAGTAAAAAAAAGTCGTCTCTGAGAAGAGTGAAAGAAAATCAGAGCTTTATTTTTACTTATCTTTCCATCGTTTCGTATTGTGCACACAGGTTATCTATTCCAAAATCTAGAAATGGATTTATAACGTAATATCGCATGTTATCGATGAAATGTAAAATTTGTAAACACATTCAGCGCAAACATACCCCGATATCATTAAAATCGCAATAATCTATCTAATACTACAATACCGATGTCATCTTCAATCTTACAAGAACCGTGATCAGAATAAAAGATATCAAGTGTCATTAAGATTTGTATCAGGTTTAAAATCATTTATTGTTGTGAATTCCATTCGGTGTTGAATCGTTTCGATTTATCTAATGTTTTATCTGTCGTTGTTTAATGACACGATAAAGAGGGTGTGGCGAGTGACTTTGAGCGTCGATATGTATTTACAAATCGTCAGTAAGGATCAAAACTTCTTCGGTTTATTACAGACGGAAACGTGGTGGATGATCGTATGTTAACGGTGAATCAACTGTTTTACTCGAGGATCTATATTTTATTCTGTTATGTTTTTCGAAATCGTAATACTTTTCAAGAACACAATTAAATAAAATTCACTGTTATAGTTTAATGTCGAGCACTAGGCATAATACATTTTACGTTGCTGCAAGAAGTTGTAACCCATTGTATGAACGTATTAGGTGAGAATTTAATTTTATAAATGATAATCTGCAATCTAATTATTACTATCAACGTATAAAATAAATGACTGAATTGAATAGACTTCTAGGAAGTATAAATTTGTTTAGTTGAAATCATATTTAATAAAATAATTGGTTGGTCATAGATTTTTTAAATATTGTTTCTAATTATAATTTAATGTTAACTATTTGTATTTCAGTGTATTGTTAAAATTGTTATTCTAGAATTGATATTTTAGTAAGACCAACTTAAGAACAAAATTATATTTTGGGTTAGATTTCATTCAAAATTAAGATATTCTCTTTACTTCGTTTTAGTGCAATCGTAAAAATCTGTTTTTACGGAACTTTTGTCACGTAATATTTTGCATTGATCGAAAATTTTCTAACTAAAAATGGAAGATAACATCAAGATTACGATTTCAATTGGAATAATTTATAGCATAGGTAGTTCACTCCTTTTGTTTCTACCATTAACTGAAAAGTAAAATGGGAGTGTAAGAACAAAAGCTGCAAATAATGACACCGTTAATGGATAACGTTTATAGATTGTCAGGATAATTTGGACTGCCCGTGTATGGAAATAAGAACGATATCCTGTTCCAGACATTTATGCCCAACCATTTGCCAGTTTTATTGCAAAACTTTCTAAAACCGCGAAATTTTTCAGGAGTTTCCGAACGGAAGACGGCCAATGAGCGGAAAAATCCACGCAGTTCTTTGAACGAGTACGAACACACTGACGATGTTTATGAATACCGAGACCGGAAAGTTTTACAGCAACTTTTAATGCTGACCAATCGAGAAACATTTTTAACCGACTAATGAGAACGATATTTTGATACGTTGCAATGATTCAGATATCGACGCTCGAAAGTTAAACAACATGAAATCTCGGAAATGTTGCACAATTATCTTATTTTTTTCTTATGAAAATTCTCGTGCAAAAATAAAAGAAAGGAAAGAAACCTCGGAATAGTTGCACAGTTACTTCCTGGTTGCGTAACAAAGAAAACAACTTCGAGAACGTTGCATAATTATTTCAACTTTCCTTTATGAATATTTGCGCGGAATGTGGAAAAAGATAGACCGTTGTTTGAATAAGCAATTCAGGATTAATCAGGAAAACTGGAATCAAAAGAGAATCTGTTGTCTTTATTAACAAGGAAAGTTGCACAGATATCAAATTACTTATGCATATAACGTTAATATATATGAACAGCACAATCCTATTGATAAGCTTACTTTATGGAAAACACTTCAACGAATACGGTAGTAATTTTCTCGGATTTTTAAAATCGCGATCTCGAGCCGAAATTTGCAAAATAAGAATTTGTTTATAATTTTCAATATTGCAAAAATGATTGTTCGACGTGAACAAAATTTATTCAGCAAGGCTGTTCCTTCTCGATTAAAATAAAAAAAGAATCATAGCCTAAAGGAAAGTATATCCATTTTCAGAGCTGCTTATGACAAATTTTGACGTCATTTTTTTGACCAACACTGAATTTTTCGTGTGACACTTATTTAAATCCTCAGGAGGTCGAATCCTATAACTTAATATCCATTACATTTTCAAAAGTAATTTAACATCCGAGTAACTTCCTTTGTAAGTTTTTTGTTATGTTTCAATTAAAAAAAACTGTATGTACAGTCGTTCGTTGAAAGAGATATCGATTAAAGCTAAGATTATATGTGAAATAGTTGAAAAGAAAACAGGAAAAGTAACAGAAAGTGTGTATGTTTCATGTTTGACGTTTTGAATTCTGCAGCAAAGTAACTCGCGTGACCCTCACTCTTCAACCACTTGTTACGCATTGATCGATAAATTAATAGCGATTATTATTAGCGGATAGGAGATGGGATAATGAGACTTCCTGTTGTCTCCTGCCACTATATTTACGCGAATGCACAGCCAGCGAATGACACAGCTTCTATCGGTAACTGAGGACTCGCGTGTTGAGTGTTTTAACTTAACGATTCAATAAATATTCATTTGGCATAACATCAAAGTTTAATACCTATTGTGATAATAATATAACATGCGTTCTACGTTAGAGATTAGAGAAAAGTAGCTAAATATGGAATACCATTTTGTTTTTCGAATTTCATTCTTACAAAATCAATCGCAATAAATAAACGACTTTTATGGGTATTCAATCATATATTTCAGAGATGGGCAGATTCATTATTTGGATAAAGAGTTTCGTGTAACGAATAAAAGATGAGAAAAGTAGTTCATTATTTATAATCGTTTAAACATGGAAATTCAAATTTTTATAATTAAATAATACTTATTAATTGAGTCGGCACTTGGCAAACAATTATTTAATCTCATTAACCGTTTAAAGCACTGCATGACGCCTTCGGATACTGTAGTTTTTTACTATGTATTATTCGAATAAAATTGTATCAATGTATGAATATTTTTGGCAAATATCAAGTTCAGTTAGCGTTTTTTAATTAATCCGAGAAATTATTATTCAAACAGAACTTTCGAATATGTTGTTGAATTCGTCTTGAAATGCTTAATAACATGGCAATAATAAGAATATGCAGTTCCATTACAAAAAATTACATTGTTATTAAAATCACTGTAAATAATAATTAAAAAAAATTCAAACATATTAGTAAGTTTGCTTCATGAAATCAATTAACTTTTATATGAAACAAGTTTTCATATTTTCAACAGTTAGAGAAATAATAGCGTGTATACACTGGCCGAAATTTCTATAAACTCACCATGTTTTTTATGAATTTTTATCATTATTCTATACCAATGAAAAATTTGGGTTTAGTAGCATTTTTGGATTAATTAAACAAAAAGCGTACACATCGGTTTTAAATAATAAATATAACATTTATTTTTAAAAAAATATACAGGGTGGGGCAATAACTATGTCCACTTTGAATATTGCCGTTATTTGTAATAATATGAAAAAATGTTATATACAAAACTTACACGGTATAAAGGGGGGCATATTGTGACACAAACATTTTCTGCGTGGTTGAAGGCATAGAGGAGATTTCAAAATCATCTCTATTTTTTTTAATGGAATGCTATGTTTTTTTTATCGCGATGTGATAGCCGGTGTTGAGACGACTTCGTAAAATAAACTTTCTTACATTACAGAAGATGCTCGAAGTGGTGGCCGTTTGCGTCAATGCAAAGTTGCGATCTTCGTATCGTTGCATTATAATTGCAGATATGCTAGAAGTTCAGAAACGATAAGACATGCACGTGATGCAGCGATACGAAGATTGCAACTTTGCATTAACGCAAACGGACACCACTTCGAGCATCTCATGTAATGTAAGAAAGTTTATTTTACTACCACATTTGACCTTGCATGACCTTCAATGATAGCTCGCTGATGTCGTCTGAACACCGGCTATCACATCGCGATAAAAAAAACATAGCCTTCCATTAAAAAAAATAGAGATGACCTTGAAATCTCCTCTATGCCTTCAACCACGCAGAAAATGTTTGTGTCGCAATATACCCCCCTCTATACCGTGGAAGTTTTGTATGTAACATTTTTTTATATTATTACAAATAACGGCAATATTCAAAATGGACATAGTTATTGCCCCACCCTGTATACAAATTCAACAGAACACAAACTGCGAAATTTCTATAAAGTCATTCGCTTTTTACACAAGTAAAATCGAAATTAACAATTGTTTTTTAATTTTTTTATTAATCCCAAAATGCAACCAATCTAATTTTGCATTGATACGGAATAATTACAAGGATTCATCAAAAAACATGGTGACTTTATATTTTTGTTTCATTTTTAAACAAATGTTATATTTATTTGTTGAACCCGATGTGTACGCATTCTTTAATCAATCTCAAAATGCAACCAAACATAAATTTTTCATTGGCATGGAATAATTACAAAAAGTCGTCAAAAAAAAACATGGTGACTTTATAGAAGTTTCGGCCAGTATATGGAGATAGTTAAAAAAGTCAAAAACCGAAACTGAAATTTTCGTCCATGTCGGAATTTTTACACGGTTCGTCCCGCTGTGCGCAGTATCGATTCGGTCGATTTATCGTCGGTTCGTAAATGGCCGCGACCGAGTTAACGATATCTTGTTAGGGAACATGAAATTATGCCACGGAAATGCGCCGCCACCGTTAAACTAGTCGCCTGTGAACGGGCGGAGTTTGTTGACTGGAAAATTTACAGCGAACGCAGAATCGAACCCGCCACGTGTCATAACTCTAAAGTCAATGAGATTTAGGTGCCCCGGGGCAGTTTACGACGAGAAACGCGGCTTGAATGTCCTGAGCTCGAATCGTGTAATGTGGCTTAACGATCCTTTGAATTGCACCGAGTAATATCTTCATACGGCTCTTTTAACTTTACTGATACTTCACTTTTATTGGTAACGATTTGACTGTGGGAGTAGTGGAATGTTAATCTGTTAACTGGGTTGTCTTATCGATTGTAAATGTCTGTGTACGCACGATTAAAAATGATTGAAAGACATTCTGTTCCGTGAACAAATGAGAATAAGATGAGATTTATACCGATACTGCAACTATGGTAATGTTTAAATTTTCGTGGGCAATGCGAAAATATCTACAGACTCTTTTCGATTATTGTCCAGGCGTTATCCCCACCACTGGCGGGGGAGGGGGCCTTGGAACCTGTCAAGCGCATACTTTGTTGACCCTCTGCTTTTGTTGCCGAGGCTCGAGCTTTGGGAAAAAAACGAATTTACGAGGGTCTGAAGCATTTCTCCCTACAAGATTATTGTCCTGGCGCGGACACGAGTTCGGAACGATAATCGAGATGAATCTGTATTTTTCCTGGACGTTCCTATGAAGTTTTAATTTTTCTTGAAAAATGTTTGAAACATTTGAGTTTACGAACGATTGTTTAATATAGTAGGGACTTTGATGAGTATTCCAGAAGTTGTTCGGGTTTCTTGAAAATATAAAACAGTAAGAAAATTTTGATTGAGCGTGAACGACCCAGGAGTGTGAAAAAATATGTTTGCCTATATGGAGGGTTAAATGTACGAATATGTAGATGAATAAATGAAAAAAAAAAACAAAAAATTAGAGAATGTAATTTTTTATGTACTATGTAGAACTCAAGAGATGAACTTTCACCGTATCGATACATAGTTGACTAAATAGTTGACACGATGCTCGAATTACACACAATAAAGCTGCGCTTCAGAATTACAAGTTATCAATCACGAAATTTGTATCAATAGGTTTCATAAATTGACAACAATGATGACACTTAAACGATGGTATGATGCTGGCGTTTGTGTAATTAACCCCTTGCATCGCAATGGAATTCGATGCAACGGGCAAGTATTCTTATGAGTAGAGTATAAAGGGCGCCTAATGTTTCTTCCAAATTATAATTCTTGGTTGGGTTAATCAACCGATTAACAAAAATTGGAACTGAAACTTCTTTGAGACGTACTTTTCACGAGGGCGGAAAGAGCAATGGTGAAACCTTGGTCTTTTCGATTTCAAAAGATGTTACACAGCTTGGTCACGCGTCGTATTTACCTGATTTTTAACTCAAACAAGTATACGCTTGACCAGTGGTGGGGATAACGCCTGGGCAATAATCGTGTAGAACAAGTCAGACGATAATCGAGAGAAATCTGTAATGTCTTGTTTTACCAACAAGCTTTTAAATGCACATTCAAATTTGTGCCGTACCATCTATACAAGACTAGAAGAAACAATTATGTATATTCACAGACATGAAAAAAAGTACATAACATGTACTTAGTAATATCTTATTTCATAATTTAGAATACGTAGTCATACGGCAACTGTGGGAACGAAAGTGTTAAAAGAAATATCGACTACAGTTTTTACATTAACATCACCTTTCAAATATACCACTGTTATTCTAATGCAATAAATAATTACCACTAACATTTTTTATATCTATTTTATTTAATGTGGGGCAACTGTTTACCCTATATTATGACAGAACAATTTCCTATTGATCAAAACGATCCTCTGTTCACCACACATCGCGTCCACAGATACCATTCGCGGTTCCAAGGGGCTGACGATGCCAACTTTCTCGGAAATCGTGTAAGAGGAAACTACGTAGCTGAATAAATCACGGCTCGGTCGTGTGTACGTAGCGTAAAAGGAACTTACTGTTTAGCGTACGCAATGGATTTCGCCAGGCCGTTCCCGGAGCCGCACGGTATCACGCCGAGTGGAAGCTCCCTGAGGGCCCTCTCCCAATCGGGCCTTTGAAAAAGGCCATTCACCACCTCGAACACGATACCGTCCCCGCCGACCATCAGCAACCCGCTCCATTGATAAATGTCCCTCGTACGGACGAACTCACGAGCGTAATTGGGACACTTGGTGATGTGCACCTCGTAAGGCCTCTCTGCCTCGGATAGAATCGGATGGATCCTCTTTTGAAACGTCTCACGGCCCCTGCCAGGCCCCGATTTCGGATTCAACAGAACAAGAAGCTTCCGTTGTTCGCCTGGACACGCTGAAACAAATTTAAAAAAAAACACACACACGCGTGAACGTTAGAATTTTCTATTCGATGCTCGGATTTTTGATAAGAATTATGTATTCCTTAGGGATTCTGGGTAAGGTCCAGCTTTGCGCAGGCGCCGAGGCCATTACGACAGAACTTAGCATGGAGGGGGCTCTAAACTCATTGCCAGTTTACTCTCCAACAACCCCGAACATGGCAATGTAGTTAGAGTCTACTGTATATGAAATACTTGGCTATCAATCGCAACGCGTAGCCAACGCTACCGCGTGAACTCGGCTGGCAGACTCGCGCTCTGATTGGTCGGGGTTTTTCGTTAATATCTCGTTAACAAAGCCTCGGATAACATTTTTGCTAAGGAAAAACTTGTTTCAAATGACCTTACGAGTCTCCCATTTCCGAGTCCTCCAACATTTTTGTTACAGCCTATATACATATGTACACCCACGAGTAAGCTCGGCTTCCACTAAGAGAAAAAGTGACGTAGGATAAGGGCCTCCTACCACTTGGTAAATTTATTTCAAGTACTGAAATAAATGTAAAAATGCATGGTAATTTCGCATAAATTTCAGAAACTTCCGAATTCAAATGGTAGAAGGCGTTTTCCCTAGCGGAAGCCGAGTTTGCTCGTGGGTGTATGTTGCAACGTAAACATCATAAAATCTAGAAAGCAATGCCGCGTGTATGGGCCCCGTTTAACGTGTACAGAAATGAAACCGTCGTTTGCTGGAGCCGAGATGTCTGTTCTCGCGACGCCGCTCGAGAATCTCTCGACGATTACGTGACATGTAATGCAACGAGCGTGTTTAATCTTTAGAACCAGGTAGCCTCTGCAGTCGCCGCAGCAACCCCCCGTTCCTGCCAGGGGATTTCGCTGCAGTATTTCTGGGGCGTCTTGTTATCCCCCGGTAATTTCTTTCCTGGTCTTTCTTGCATGCAAGTCTCGTGGTCCTATTTAGTTTGGGGACTGCGGTGTGTAGAGGATGATTCAGCAATGGCGTGTAAACGTTTGCATTAGATTGTTGCACATGATCATTTTGATGTGTTGAATATTATACGAATTTTATTAGATTAAGTAAGATTAAATGGACGTTATACACATTGTTCATTGAAATACAAGTATTGCATTTGTTATACAGGGTGTCCCACGTAACACTTACCGCGATTTTTCAAGCACTTCCAGTGATCCGACGAAAAAGTGTTTTAAACAAAAGTAGATCGGTTTTTAATCGGCTATGTGTTACACGGAAAGATTTTTTAGAAAATTTTTTGGATAAAAAGACAAGATGACCTTCATCTATTGAATTGACTACACATACTTTTTGACTTCATAGTATTGTAGCTTGTGTCAAGACAAGTTCAATCAGCTGGTACACTGTGACCTTGAAATGACCTTGAATTCAGAAATGTGAAATTAATGAACGGAAACGTTTTTCTGGTAAATTGTTATGGGGTGGCCACCTGTCTTGCTGGAAGTATATACGCTGCGCAACATCAATTGAAAACCCTTGCTTCCACGGTCGATAATTCACAACAATGAAACAATATCAACATGTAATAGCTGAACTGTCATGCTCTTAAGACAGTTCTTGTGTTCAGTCTCAGTTGAATTCCAAATTTCCTGAAAATTTTTTTTATAACACGTAGCCAATTAAAAACTGATCAACTTTCAAACACTTTTTCGTCACTTTTTAGTAAGTGTTACGTGGGACACCCTGTATACTTATTATACTGAATTTGAAGATGACTTTTCATAGAGTTATTAAAAAAATCTGTAGAAAATACACAATTTACAATATTATTTGAATCAATTTCACAACAATTGCTTTAAATACTACTTATATATACGAGTTTACAATATATTTGTAACAATATGTGCGTAAATTCAGTAAAACATGGCTTAAATATTATTCATACTTATAACAATAAAAATAATTCCCTCTTCTGTAACTTGTAAATCTTTCGTACGATGTTCAAAGACTTATATGTAATAGTTTCATACGTTTGTCGTCGAAATTTTCATTCTTTGGGACATCGACGATAAATGCCGGTCTCCTGTGGAGGGGTTGCGAGGCAGGACACATTACGAGTCGTGATTCACGACATATTTGTGTGTGAAGTAAATGATAGATACGCGATCTCACTCACACATTTCACCCAACGCTGCCATATGCCTGCACGCAGTTGCCCACCAGTGAGTTTGGCGGGCGCTGAGTTCCCCATCACTGTTCTATACTGTGACAAGTAGTCTATCTTACACACATGTTAACATTGTGATTTATGGTTTTCTTTTATTTTTATTTTCAAACTGAATCAATTAAATATTCATAAACTTTAAGGCATATTTTCTTAAACTTGTTTATTTGTTGAATAGCCCGCTAGGGGCCCGCATACAGGATAATTTATAGTGAATAATGGAAGTATCTGAATGTGTTTGTTAATGATATTCGATTTCAGACTGCAAAATGGACTTTGTTATTCCCTAAATATATAATTATTTAATTAATCTGTTTTTTGTTAATCTGTTTTGAGTTCGAATATTCTTATCAAAATTCGATACAATTTTGTTCGGTTACATATCGAAAATAAAAAATTGTTGGTCCATATTTATCGGAATTTTCTCTGTTATTCTGAAATGTAAAACATTATCACCCTCTATAGTGCATACGATGGCATCTCGTGCACAGGATATCCTCAGATTAAACGATCAAACTGTGTCAATACACCATTTAAGTAGACGTTCGAAAAAATTGTACGAGCTTGTATACACGACGTATTGTTCTGTATAATACTTATCACTAGAGTACACTTTATATAAATTCACAACTGTTATTGGCTAATTTATGGGATCGCGAATTAAACAGAAACAATTTTCTTACAAAGAGTTTTACAATCTTTCTAATTTATATGGATTTTTATAATGTTTATTTATGAATTAAGCTTGAATGTCCATCTTTCCAGATTGATTCTTTACCTTAATTAACTAAAAAGTGTTCTACAATGAAATAAAAGTGAACAAACAAAAAGATTATCAACACAATTTTCTGCATAATTTTTATCAAGGAAAAGTAACAACAATACTTCCATCGTGTTATATAAGAAACGATAGAAGAGTCACCAGGTAATAAAAGTTTCATAATTATTACCATAGAATCGATAGTGTCCTGGAAATACGAGGAAGAGGATCAATAGTGAGGAAATCCGGAATTTCTCAAGAGAAAATCGGATGAAATACATTACTGGACGAGGAAAATTACTCTTGGGGAAAACTGTTTCCAAATCGACACTTTATGGGTTGCAGCCGGATTTACGTAAACCAACCAGTCATGCACCATTAAAGGTAACTATGTAATGGTGAAAGTACAGGTAAAGAGCACCAACCAGGTTTCGGAGTCAAGAGAAATCTTTGCTCGACCGCTCAATCACCGTTTATCTTCCGTGCGTCGTTGGTTATCTCTGGTCATCGTCTGCACGGTTGTAGAGAAAAATCTCCTCGATATCGTAAATTCAAAACAACTTACAATACCGGTCAAAATTATTCGAACGATATGACTTTTGGTATTCATAACAATGTTTAAACTCAGATATATATAGGGTGTCCAAGTTTTTTTCCTGACAAATTTTGCCAGCATGTTCTACAGGCAAAAATAAAACAAAAATGTCATATACAGTACCGGACAAAAGTATTTGTACACCCTTTAAAACGGAACAACTTTTTTAAAATTGGTCCAAATGACTTGAGTTCTTTTGTGAAGTTAGGGACATTAGTTTATTAAATGATGTGTAAAACATAATTGAAAAAGTTGCAATTGGTTGGAATCGTGAAGAAAATAATAACGGTTGTTTTTTACAACTTTTTAATCTGAGGCTGTAATGAAAATTTAATAAATACATATCGAAGATTTATGTTAGTTATATACATGTTGAAAATTTGATCAAAATCTCAATGCAAATTTCATCATTAAGGGCTCCTAAATGATTTAGTAAAACGTTGTAAATAAAAATATGAAATCATTAAGAAATGGTGTTTCGTGGACATAGTGTAAAAGCACATTGTTGATATCTGTTATGTTTACATAAAATCTAATGTTTACCTGCTGAGGTCGTTATTCATAATAACGGACAACATTTTGAAATGGAATTATATAAGTATTGTTAGTGATTTCAACCAACGACACCAAGTGATTAACATTTCATATTTTTGTTTACAACTTTTTAATAAAGCATTTAATAGCCTACGTTTACATGACATTTTTGTTTTTTTTTTCTCGTAATCACAATCTTCCTTGGAACTTCTCCATTTTTAGGTAATTTTATGCAGTTAATCTTATCACATTTCTGCTTTCATTTTTTCATTTCCAAAATTCTCACATATTATAGTTAAAATAAAAACGAGCCATGTCTGAAATCGCGTTGAGAAATACTGTTTCTCCATAAAAGGATAAATTATATTCCCTAGAAAAAAAAGTGGTCCGTTTTTACTTTTACAACAATGCATACAAGTGTTGAAAATTTTAGGGTTATTTTATAGTTCTGCCATGCTGTGTATTATGAATTTGTATAAATTTGCACGGTCTAGTTGTAATAAAAATAGCGATCGTGATCATGAGACAAAAGATTCTATTGCCGGTCTTGAAATTGGACAAACTTCGCGCGAAATCCCGATGCTATGCAGAATACGTAAGGAGATGTAATCAGCAATTTTATATAGGTCGCTTCCAGCTTAATTTGGCCGGTGTCCACGATCGTGGTCGCCACGGAAAAATGTCGAAACACTTTCGGCGCCTCGAAGACGCGACCGTCTGCGACCCAATTGTTCTACCGTCTACGGATTTACTCGTATCCGTGCATTGGCGCATCCAATTCACGTCGATATCGGCTAATTAGGTCGTAAATAAAACTTTCATCCTCCCGTGGGAAAACGCGCGCGAATACTGTGATATACATAGGAGAACGCGCGTGAGTCTCTCCGGACTCATTGTAATACGAAC